AAAATCTGTGACTTAAAAGTGTGCCATGGGTATGCCCACAACAGTGAAAGAAATGGGGGGTGGGAGTGGCCTAATGATTTTTTACAACTGTGAATTTTCCATACAGGCAAAAACTATGTGAGTATGCCTGACTTCAATCTAGTTTATATTCCTGTAACGTTAGATTCTTGGTTATGTTTTAGTAGTATTTGCTTTCTATTTAAATGAAGTGTACAGTTGTAACTTATGTAAATTTAATAGCTTCTCTGTTTAATGAATGTGCTGCCGAAATATTATCTGTCAAATCTGTTCTGTGTATTGAAACCATTGTATTTTGACACATACTAAAAGTATAAATATTTAAATGCCTTATGTCTTTGAAGTTAAATGTACTCCTGTTTTCTTTAACCAGTTCATTAAACTATGACTGAGTGGTTAATTGGTGTGCATATTTTGATAGTTTTAAAATTACATTATAAAATTAGCTTCCTAAATATTAAATACATTGCATTTTCTTATCTATTCTGTGATCCCCATACATAGATGATTTTTACAGATTAAGTTTACCCTATGAATAAACAGATTGTAAGTAGCCTGAGTTCAATTTAAAGGTCAACTGAAGAGACTAATGATATTTAACTTGTCAAAAAGAAGACTTAGGGGAACCGAGTAGCTATTTGCAAGTATTTGAGATGCTGTGTCATGTAAAAGAAAGATTAGACTTGTTCTCTGGCTCCAGGAAGGTTTGGGGAGAGAAACTGTGGTATGAAGTCAGGAAAAACTTCCTAATAATTAGAACTATCAAAAAGTGCAAAGGGATTGTAGTTTCCTCATCATTGAAGGTTCAGATGAGGAGGATAAATGTCCATTTATAGGACATGGTGTGGTGGGCATTACTTTCAAGTATGGTTCGGATGGCATGGCCGCTGAGGTCCCTTCCAACTCTGCAGTGCTGTGAATCCATCATGATAACTCATTTTAGCCAGTAATGGCTCCTCTAGGATCCATTCCATTCCCCAGTAAGCACTGCTGTTTTCTGGATTCCTAGGATGTTACAACTATAATGTCTTCTATCAGATCTCTTATAGCTTTAACAATTCTGTGAACTCTGTTTTACAGATTAGGTAATTTTAGTTCATTTACATATAAGGAAACTGAGGCCTAGAGAGGTGAAGTGAGGTCACAGCTAGTAAGCCACAGGCCCCAAACTTGGCCAGCCCCAGGTCTTCTGACTCTAAGGCTAGTGTTCTTTCAAAACACACAGACACAAACACACACACAAAACCCTTCACTTGGATTCCTCGATTTGTTGTGGATTTTGATACATAACTTGTGTATCATAATTTAATTTTGCAAATGCTGAAGTTATGTTGTATAAATTTGTTCTGTAGCTTGCCTTAATGTTACTTGAGTGCTAAATTTCTTAAGGAAACTTGGTGACATCAGTAAACAATAAATATTGCTTACTTTCAGCAAATCTTTTCATTCCTACTGAAACATCCCATGGTTTCCCTTCCCCCAACCCTCTCAGCTGAGATCTTTGCCTCATATTTTACAGAATAAATTGATCTCACTTGCTGTGATCTCTTTTTCTCCTTTTCCTTATATCTCATTTAGATAAGAAGAAAAGAAGAAAAATATTTACATGCCTGTAAAATTATTATTCTATTTGGAGAAGTGCTTGTTTCCTCCTCAGACAGTTAATATTAATTTTGAGATTTCTCAATATCTCCAGGCTTTATGGATGAAATGATTTTCTATGTAAGATAATTTTAAAATGTGTTCAATTGAGTTGATGTCATTTGACCAGCAATCAAATTTCACATTTCATGCTTTAAGTACATAATGTTGTTTCAAGTTATTATTATTACCCTAATAGTTTTTTTGTATTATGATTTTGGGAAACCGTCATATAAAAATGCTATTAATTTGAAAAATTATATTTAGAGTTACTGCATTTGTATTATTAGGAGATTAGGTCTTCTATTGATTTGAATGCCATGGAATTATTAGAGACTTTCATCATTATAATTTTAAAACTCTCCTAAATTTTGAGTGTATTGGGTATATTTTGTTTTAAAATGGATAATAATAACTTAGTGTTTAGGAAAAGTACAAAAAAAACTGCCTTTTAAATTATCCTTATCTATAAAGTTCTTTGTGATTTGCCATGTTCCAAGATCAGCAGCCTTGACAAGTTCTTAATATCTTATCAGTTCTGTGAAAGAAAGAATTATAAGAATGTATATGACTAATGAAAGTCTTATCTAAGGATTGTTGTTTTTTTTTTTTTTTACATCAGAATGTTTAAGCTAGAAAAGAAAAGAAAAATATTGAATTAATGCTTGTGGAGGAGATTCTATGTACTTAATAAGTTCTAAAGAGAAATGTTTTAATTTACTATTACTTATTATTAACTGTTATTGTAACGTGAGAAACAATGTACCTGTTCTAAATTGTAAGCAGTGGAATTTACTGTGTGAGGTGTAAATGTAATTTGATTTGCTCTAAATTTTGAATTCATGTATAACTTGTTAAGCCTGTACTCCACCATTCAAGGGAAAAGCCGTTAGCTGCTTGAAGGAAGTGTGATCTGAAAATGCTTCAGGTGGATGTAGGTACCTAGGAGAGTTGAGAAGATGGTCTTACAAGGGTAATGGCAATATCCTCTTGACTCAGTTTCCTCACTGTGTTATTTCCTTTTTGAACAGAAATATCTCCTACCTGGTTGATTGTGAGCCTGGCTAACCTTGTGAATAATGTGTAATTCTGTTGAAAGATTGACTATTTCAAAAGGTACCTGTGACTTCTATCTGAAATCAAATAGAGCTAAGGAAATTTTGTCCTAATGTAGCTATGATAGATCAATCTGTGACTTTAGACTTAGGCCTGAGGATACAGTTCTGATACTATCATAACTGTGTCCTTCCTCTTTTCATAGTAAATTTCTCTGACCCTGACAGGAAAACTGAAAATATTTTAGAATGGATCTTATGGTTTCAATTATCAAGCATCTATGAACTGTTATAATGGGATGCAGGTATAAAGGACTCCATTGTTTTGATTTTACGGTTGTTGTTGTTGTTCAATCATTTCAGTCATGTCTGAATCTTCATGACCCCATTTGGGGTTTTCTTGGCAAAGATACTAGAGTGGTTTGCCATTATCTTATCCAGCTCATTTTACAGAGGAGGAAACTGAAGCAAACAGGTTTAAGTGACTTGCCCAGGGTCACACAGCTAGTAAGTGTCTGAGGCTGGATTTGAACTCATGAAGTTGAGTCTTCCTGAGTCCAGGTCCAGTGCTCTATCCCTTGTGCCACCAACTTTGATTTTACTGTACTGAATTTATCACTTGTAATTGTCAACTTCCTAGCCTAGGCCACTAAGGCACATCAGTTGTTAGACCTGCCATCTCTTTGCTCATTGGTTTAATCATTAAAAAAAACACAACGTATTCATGTACAAGATTATGTCTGTATAGCATTACATCTTAACTGAATTATATGAGAACATATAGACTCAAAAGGGAGGATAGGATGAAGATGTGATGTGATTGATGTAAGACTTTTCATTTTTAATGGATTAATAAACTTCACTTTGGGGAAAAAAACGAGATTAGACTGTTTCCACTTAAAAGCTAAGAAATATGTGATTGGCTTTCAAATGTTTCCCATTGAGTAAAAGGGTATACTTAAAGGACTCATAATAACTGTAATTGTACTAGTAGCCCTAGAACTTTTGCTGTTATGCCAGTGAAAAACAATAGAAAAGGCCAAGTAAAGATCATTTTCCTTAATAATATGCTTTTTTTTTTATCCTGGGTGGGGGGAAGAGAATTACTGAATTTTGTTCAGAACCCTTTGAATATCCACAGATGCTTATCCATACAAATGCTTAAATATACTGACTTTGGATATGTTCTAGTCATTATTTTTAGTAGTTGTCTTTAAGATCTCAAGTTGGATTGAGGATTTTACATATTTTTGTTGTTATGTCATTTTAGTCTTGTCTGACTCTTCGTGACCTTATTTGGGATTTTCTTGGCAAAGATACTGGAAGGGTTTGACATTTTATTCTCCAGTTTATTTTTACAGATGAGGAAACTGAAGCAAACAAAGCTAAGTGACTTGCCCAGGATCACTGTCTGAGGCCAATTATGAACTCAGGTCTTCCTGATTCCAGGCTCAGTGCTCTATGCACTGTGCCATCTACCTGCCTATTTCATATATAGAATTTAACAGAGTTATTTTAATTAGTTATCAAGGAACTTTTAAATAAGTTTAAATGAAAATATAAAGAGGAAATAAATGCTACCCATCTCCTTCACATAACAACTTGAATCATGTACTTGAAGGTACATACATTATATATACATATATTGAGAAAAGAGAAGGGAAATGCTTGTAGTTCTCAGGATGACCAGAAATAGATCCCCTTTTCAAAACAATAGGTAAGGAAGGTTTTAATATTTTTATTTTTATTTTTGTTTGTTTTTGTTTTTTGTTTTTGCTAGGCAATGGGGTTGTGACTTGCCCAGGGTCACACAGCTAGTAAGTGTTATGTGTCTGAGGCTGGATTTGAGCTCAGGTCCTCCTGAATCCAGGGGCAGTGCTCTATCTACTGCGCCACCTAGCTGCCCCAGGTTTTAATATTTTTAAATCATTAATTTGGCATGCTAGAAAACAAAGACTTAGCTCAGTGAAATACTGTTATTCTCTAGAAGCAATATATTTGTATAGTTTTACAGATAAAAAACTAAAACTCCAGTAGCTTACTTGTCCAAGGAAATACAAGGACAGTGAATCTAGAGTTCAGTATTCTCTGTTAATCAGTAGAAATTGCAGCTTGCCCTATATAAATGGCCAAAGATCACTTTTTTTCTGACCAGATGGATTTACCGTTGAATTCTACCAAACATTTAAAGATCAACTAATTCCAAAATTAAATAAATTATTTGGAATAATAGGCAAAGTATCCTACCAAACTCCTTTTTTTTTTGAGGGTCATAAATCAGCATTTATTATTTAAGTTGAAGAACAGGTTATGAAGGGGGTGGGGGGGAGCCCAGGTGGACAGGAAAGAAGGGAGGAGACGGGGAGCCGAGAGCCTCTCCTGTGTCTGCTCCAGATGGGGTCGATCCTGATTTCTGAGCTTTGGTCCAGGGCACACAATGAAGCACATGATAAGATGAGGTTCCAGGGGCTACAGATTTAGGAAACGTCAAGAGATGGCCAAAGTTACACACCCAACCAGAGGTGAGGGCTGGGATTTTCCTTGGATCAGCAGCACCACTTCCTTTTAGGAACTGAAGCGTAGGGATAAGTTCCATCCCCCTCATTTCAGCTCTTATTCTTGTAGTTAAAGTCTTTGTGCTAATGAATTCTTTCCTCGCCTCTCTAACTTCTAGTACTTGGCTTCTAGTTTCTTTGAATATGCATCCAACTTGTAAGCGGCCTGCTACTTGCTCCTCAATTAAAGTGATCTGATCCAGATGAGCCTGAGGTGCTGCATGTTTCTGGTTTAAGTCCTTTAGGTTTCTACTTATGTTTACTGCAATATCTTTCATTTCTAGATACTTCAAACTAGTCAGTTTGTTCATATTTTCCAGAAGTTTATAGTCTTCACTGGTGGCTGTCAGCTTGCCTGTTAGGTACATGACCATTTTGGAGAACGTGTCCTGCACAGCTCCATGATGTCCGCCTCGGCGGGCTCTGTGGCCTCCTCGGTCCTCTCTACCACAGCATTGTCTAGGCCGGGGAAGGGAAGGAGAAGGGATGGAGGGAAGGATGGGGATGGGGGAGGGGAGACAAAGGGGAAGGGGGGAAAGGAGGGAAGAGGAGAAAAAGGGCCCTACCAAACTCCTTTTATGAAACAAATACGATGTTGACACCTACACCAGGAAAAGCAAAAACAGAAAAAGAAATTTATAGGCTAATTTCATTAATGAATATGGATGCAAAAATTCTAAATAAAATACTAGCCAGGAGACTACAACAATTTATCACAAAGATTATACATGGTGGCCAGGTGGGATTTATACCAGGAATGCAGAGATGGTTTAACATAAGGGAAATTATTAACAGGATTGATTATATTAATAACAAAAGTAACAAAAATCATATGACTATATCAATAGATGCAGAAAAAGCTTTTGACAAAATACAATACTCATTCCTATTAAAAAAACATTTGAAAACATAGGAATGAATGGATTTTTCCTTAAAATGGTAAGCATCTACCTAAAACCATCAACAAACATTATTTGTAATGGGCATAAACTAGAAGCCTTCCCAATAAGATCAGGAGTGAAACAAGGATGTCCATTATTACCAATCAGTTACTCACCCTTTCTTTTTTGCGTCAACTGAAGCACAATAAATTCTACTCCAACCTTTCATTTTAACTGTGTGTATCTCTCGTTCTTAGATGTGTTTCTTGTAAACAGCATATTATGGATTCTCATTTTTGATCAATTTCAGTCGCATTTAATCCAATCACATTTAATCCAACTCATTTTATGGGTGAGTTCATTCCACTCACATTCAAAGTTATAATTACTATTTGTGAATTTTCCTCCATCTATTGTCCTTCTTGGCCTCTTTTTACCCCTATCTTGTTACCTTATCTCTTCCCCTTACCCTCTCATTCCATATTCTACCCACTTTCTCTTTCCACCTACCCTCATAAATCTTAATCTACCACCCTTCTAAAAGTCCCTCCCCAACCCTGTCCCCCAGTTTCTTTCACCTGTCTACAAGTCCATAAGGCTTCTACATATCTCCAGATATACACGTTATTTCCTCTTCAACCCAGATACTATGAGAGTAAAGTTTCAACATTGCTAGCCCTCAGCCCCCCACCTGCTTCCTCTGTATCAGTTCTTCCTCTTGTGCCTAATTTTTATGAGATAATTGCTCCTTTTTACCTTTTCCTACCCAATTTTGTTTTTCAGAATTACCCCATCATATACCTCAGTCCCAACCTTTCTTTCAAACTACCCTAGTAGTTGATGATAGTTTTAAGAATACTGATTATATGTGTGTGTGTGTGTGTGTGTATTTGTGATGGAATACAATGTTCTCTTGGTTCTGCTCATTTTGCTCTTCATTATTTTGTGTAAGTCTTTCTGTGTTTTTCTAAGATCATTGCTCATCGTTTCTTATAGCACAGCAATATTCCATCAAAAACACACACACACACACACACACACACACACGCACATCCACAGTATTTAAATTGTTTTTTTCTTGTTGCTTGCAATATATTCTCCTTAAACTGGGAGTTTTGAAACTTGGCTATGACATTCCTGTAAGTTTTCTTCCTGGTATCTCTTTTAGGTGATGAACAGTAGATTTTTTTTCTATTTCTACTTTACCCTCTTGTTCTAGAACTTCAGGGCAATTTTCCTTAATTTGTTGTAATATTATATCCAAATTTTTTTTTTTGATCATAACTTTAAGGTAATCCAACAATGCTTATATTGCCTCTCCTTGATCTGTTCTCCAGATGAGTTGTTTTTCTAATGACATGTTTCAGAGTCTCTTCTATTTTTTCTAGTTTTATTATTTCTTGGTGTCTTATAACATCATTTGATTCCTTTTGCACAATTCTAGTTTTCAAGGAATTGTTTTCTTCCTTAAGATTTTGGACCTCTTTTTCCAATTGGTTAACTTTTGTGGGGACAAAAATACCCTGAATGACAAAAAGAGAAACTGAGGAAGAGTTCTGAGCCAGTAGCACTTATTAAAGGGACCTTGTCCCCTCAAATGAAGTGAATCCCAGACCTTCCTCATGTTCTGAGATGCTTCCTCCTTCCAGCACCTTATTTTTGTAAGGTTTAATACCAGATTTAATATTTGAACATTCTAGAGAGGCTACACAAAATACAGAATCCCATTGGTTGATAGACTTTGCTTTGCAGGCCAAAATTGATGCATCAGCTAGAAATGGTATGTCACCAAGGAGTCAAAAGTTGGATGAAGGAGGAAATATCTCCGCTGACTAGTTGGTCATAAGATGGATAAGCTCCTTCTTGTGTTGGGCAAGAGGAGATGGTACAAATCATGCATATTTTCCAGAAACAAATTGGAGGGACTTTCTGTATCATGCCACTTATACTTGGTTTGGTCATGGAATTTGAGCAAAATAGGATGGAGATATGCATATCAGCATTCTTGCAGTTTTGCAGGTAAGCTTCATAACTGGTAGACAAGTAGTGAACATTACATTAAAGTTTGAGGCCTATTATGGGGACTCTTCTATACAAACCTATATTCCTATGTGTTTTATATAAAATATGGCTTAATACATTGTTTATTCTTATACCTATAATTAGATGACTGATTAAATATCACTAGATGAGTATAGCAAAATAATTGCTGTCAATCATTACCCCTTATGGAATTATACTGAACTAATCCTTATTAATTAATTAATTATTAAATTTTGAGTAGTGGTTCAAAATGAACCATCTCTCACACTTCCTTTTCATAATTTTCTTGAATTGCTTTAATTTTTTTCCTAATGTTTCCTCGATCTTTCGTATTTGATTTTTTAATTCCTAGGGTTACACAGCTATTAAATGTCTAAATCAAGATTTGAATTTAAGTCTTCCTGACTCCAGGTCTAGGGCTATCCACTGTGCAATTTACCTGATGTTTTCTTCATTCATTTTCTTCATTTTCAAAGAGGACCAATAACATCACAGGATGATGTCTTAATTCACTCGTGAATTGGATTTAAGTGAGGCAGAGTTGCACAAAATTGCTAGCCTCACTCTCTCTTCCAAAATCATTGAAGTCCAGTGGCAGGAGAAAAGTCTAAGAATGTAATGGATGACCTTGGCATTTTCAATGTCCGACCAAGCTCTAAGCACTCTACTGCACCAGCTTCAGCTACCTTCATGGCTGTTGGAACAAATCATTCTCATTTGCCCATTCTGCTGGGGAAAGTCTTTACATGCTTGGGGTAGACGCCCCCTAACTCACTAACAGGTTTGAGGCATATCAGTTGCCCTCATCCTGCATTAGCCTGTCTGCTAAGATGGTTTTACTGGGACATTGGAGCCACAGGTGACAGTTGAACACCAGGTGGACCCCAAAGATGGATGAGAAGGCCTGAAAAGGGCTCAGCAAGTCCTCACGTCAAAGGTGCTAATCTTCCTTGAATATCCCATATACCTCATAGGTAGCCAAAATAGAGAAGCAAAAAAGCACAGCAACTTAGAGTTTGATAAACCCCAAATCTAGCTATTGGGATAAGAATTCAATTTTGACAAAATAGTATTTGGAAAACTGGAGAGCAATCTTGTAGAAACTGGTATGGATAAAACCTCACAGTATATACCAGGGTAAGCACCACATGGGTATGTGACTTAGACAAAAAGGGTAAAATCATAAACAAATTTAAAAAATAATGAAGAAAATAACTTTCAGGTCTATAAAGAGGGTTCAAACACAGGATGGAGATAGGAAAGATAAAGTGGGAAATTTTGATTACATAAAAATAAATGTTTTTGTATGAACAAACCAACTCTGTTAAAATCAGAAAGGAAGCAGGTAATTTTTTCTGATAAAAGACTCCTTTCCAAGTTGTATAGAAAACTGATTCAAATACTTACAAGAGCATTCTTCTAATTGATAAATTAAAAAAAAAGGATGTGAAAGGGGAAATCCAAGCTATCAAAAGCTATATGGAAAAAAGTTCTAAATCATTAATAATTAGAGAAATGCAAAGTGAAGCAACTTTGAGGTCTGTACTTCTAAAAACCATTAACTCCTACTCAAAGGTATTATTCCATTCATCTTAGAGCTGAGCTGCCCTGACTATAAAGTGCAAACTCACCTAACCCAACCATATCTAACCAGTCTCCTTTCCTGCTTTAGGTAAGTCTCCTCTTGACTTCCTGCCATTTCCCCTGCCTCCTCTACCCGGAAAGTCACCCCCTCCCTTTTACACATCTACTTTTGTTCTGAGAACAGTAACCGAATCAATACTACAATTGCTTCTGAAAAGGGCATGACAATAGACTTCATTATTGCTCTCGATATAATGACTCCTTAGAGCAACCTATGTGCTTTCCCTTCCTACTAAAATAAAAGCTACTTGAGGGCAGGAATTGTCTCACTTCTGTATTTGCAGTCCCAATGCTTAAAACAGTGCTTCACACATGGTAAGCCCTTAATAAATGTTTTTAAATTAATTCTTGTTCCCATTTTAGCTAAAAGAATCAAGTTGGGACATGAAAATTAAAAAAAAAAACCATAATTTAGAAGAAAACTTGACAGTAACAAATCCACATAGCTCTCTCCAATGTGTTTTTGATAGCTGCAATAGGCAAAATGATCTAGCTGAAGAAATAAAAATTCACCTGAGCAACATGGAAATAGAGACCTCATTTTGTGTTACACTCCTGATGAGAATTAGAATGCTCTAAATATGTATAACTGATGAATCACCGATGACAAGTGATGAAATAATACCACTATGAAGATAGAAAACACCCACTTAGGTTTGCAATAATCCTATATAGAAGGGTCCAGTTTGTGTTACATTGCTCTAAATATCTGGCATGCTTGATATTTATATAAAGGAATCAAATAGGAGTCAAAGTATTGTTGTTCAGTCATGTCTTACTCCTCCTGACCCCATTTGGGATTTTCTTGGCAAAGATACTGGATACTTGCCATTTCCTTCACCAGCTCATTTTACAGATGAGGAAACTCAGGCAAATAGGGTGAAGTGACTTGTCAGTAAGTGTCTGAGGTTTGATTTGAACTCATGAAGATGAAACTTCCTGGGGGCAGGTAGGTGGCACAGTGGATAGAGCACCAGCCCTGAAGTCAGGAGGACCTGAGTTCAAATCCGGCCTCAGACCAAACACTTGACACTTACTAGCTGTGTGACCCTGGGCAAGTCACTTAACCCCAATTGCCTAAAACAAAAACAAAAACAAACAAACAAAAAAACCAAGATGAGTCTTCTGATTCCAAGCCCAGTAATCTGTCCTCTCTGCCACCTAGCTGCCCTTGAGTTCAAAGTAGGAACTTAGAAATCTAAGTGTAACACTGACTGCTGTGGCTTCCCATTGTCTATAGGTCAGATATGTCACATTTTCATCCCTCCTCCCAAGGTTCTTCAGTACCTTTAAGGGGATTTGGAAGCAACTGGGATCTCTGTCCATGTAGGCCCAACACTTTGGTGTGCTAGGCATGTTACATTGCGTTTTCCAAAATTTCTAATGATTTCTTAATTACCATATCCAATGACTTTTTTTCTCAATCTTCATCCTCTAGTTCAAGTCCTTAGCACTTGAATTATTGCAGTAACTTCCTAATTGGTCTCCCTGACTTAAATCTCTTCCTTCTCTAATCCAGTCATATTCTTAAAGCACAAGCCTGACGCTGTTACTCTCCTAGGTCCAGGGGTTCCCTAGCATAAAATGCAAACTTCTCTGGAATTAAAAACCTTTCATAGCCTGGGTCTGATCTAGCTTCTCAGGCTTTTTATATATGACTCTTGTTCATGAAATCTACCATCTAGCTAGATGGACTTTTTTTTGCTGTTTTTTCACATATGACATTCTATCTTCCATATGGTTCCAGAGAAGAAAGTGAGGCTGGTGATTTTGCACAGCCCTCCCTCTCTTAAATCCGATTCACTTACAAATCATGGCAACAACTCCCTGATATCGTGGTCCTCTTTGAGAACGAAGGAGGAACAACAATTTGTGCTATCGCCATGCCTGGAAGGCATTCCAGCCTCACCTTTGCCTGTGGCTCCTTACTTTCCTTCAAAGTCGAGCTCAAAAACCACCTCCTACGTGAGGGAAATGTCTTCTGATCTTTCCAGCTGCTCGTGTTCCCCCAGTTTCTTTGTATTTATTTTGTCTATACTGTGTTAAGCACTGGAAATACAAATACGAGTGAAAAGAAACAGTCCAGCTCTTCAGGAGCTAGTAAAGGAGGAAGGGAGGAAGAATGAGAGAGACTCCAGAGGAGTGTATCGTCATGGGAAATGACATTGGCCTGGACAACCCCCTTAAATCGAGATTCTGGGAAGATCTTCCAATCAGAGGGGAAGAGGATGCTTCCGAGGTGTGAGTTTCAGGGCTGAGATGACCTTCCGGGATGAGGAGGGGATGGACACTCCCTTCACCTGCTCTCAAAGTCTTCCTCAAACCATAAGCTTAGCTGGAAGGAGAGAGTGAATTTCTGCCTTGGGAGCATTTTGTGAGTACGATTATTTCCAGCTCAGCAGCAAACACCGGTGCACGTTCCGCAGTCGAGAGCCAGCCCCTCCATTCCATGTTCTCAAGAACGTCCAGAAACAAGCTTGCTTTGCAAACATCCTCATGGGTTATCCACCGGTGCTCCCAGGATAGGACTGTCATATGCCAGACCCTCAGTAAACTCAAGCTCACACCCCAAATGAGTGATAAGGCTGAGATTGGAACACAAATATCCTGCCCGACCCTTCCAGTCCCTTACTTTCCACGAGCCCACACTAACCATTTGGTGCTGACTACGGTCAACGAAGGAAGGGCGAAGGTTGCTGTCCCCATGGGGCATTTCTTTTCTGGTCACTGGATGGCAGACGGTTTGAAAGCCTCTAAAATTCCTAGCAATCAGGAAACTTTCCCCGCCTTGGGGGGGGCGGAGCTGGGGGTGCCAAACCTCCTCAATCTACTACTCTACAACAATTCCCAGGGTGGTGCGGAGCACGTTGGCAGCGACTTGTGAGACAGGGGCAGGATGCACTTCTGCTGGGGCGACAACTCCTTCGGGCAGCTGGGCGTCAAGGCAGCGCGGAGGGGCAAGGCTGGGCAGGTGAGATGCCAGCCGGGAGCCAGCCTAGGCAGCAGGGATTTACTGCAGGCTGCTTGCGGGGAGCGCCACTCGCTGCTGCTGCTGTCCGACGGCACCGTCTGGTCCTGCGGGAGCAACGACTGTGGGCAGCTGGGCAGGAAGAACACTCGGAACTGTGAGTGGCCAGGTAAGAAGGGCCAGGAGCCGGGGCTGGCAAAAGCTTTGGGGTGGCAGGACCCGGGCTTGGGCAAAGTTTGGGGAGCCTTAGGGACATCTAGGGTGACAGAAGTTTTGATGGAAAGTTAACCATGTGTATGTGTACCCTATATCAGATTGCTTGCTGTCTTGGGGAGGGAGAAAAGGCTCCCCTTGGGAGCGGACGAAGGGAGGGAGAAAAATTTGGAACTCAAAATCTTTCAAAAAATAAATGTTGAAAATTGAATTAAAAAAGATTTAAAAAAAAATAAAGTTAATGACGATGAGCTTAAAGAAATACATTCAGGAGCAAACTGAATCCTCTCGGTCGCAAAAAGCGAGATTGGCGGAGGTGGGCTCCCCAGGCATCTCCATCCTGGCCACAGCTGCATCCTCTGTGAGCTCCTTTTTGCCGTCAGTGAGTACGGCTAGTTTCAGTTTCCCGAGGTCTCGTGAAATGAAACTGAGAAACAAAACGAGGCAACGAGCTCTTTCGTTTTCTTTTTTCTGATGTCATCATCTCTCTTCCCGAGTCAGCTCTTCGTATCTACAAAGAGGAACTCGATTATTGAAGGCAGAGTTCCAAAACACAGCACGTGCATCGAACGGTTTCCCCAGGCATGACTTTATGGGAGTGGGGCAGGAATTTATTTGTGAAAATTTTAAAAAATAGCCAGATGGGGGACCCAGTCAAATTGGATGCTTAAGTAAATTATGCTTTTATACCATTTAAGATCCAGACATTGTTAATGTAGTGGGGGGGAAAGACTGTGAAGCATAATATAGGTAGATTAGCGGGGCAAACTTTCTTTTTGGGAGGAGGGCACAAAAGGAAATCCCGCTTGCTCCAGAACCTTAATATTGTTTCCTCCTAAAGTGGGAGTCCCTGCCCATTCCCTTTTTTTTTTCAGGATGCACTTCCCACTCTTCTCTTTCCACTAAAGTAGTCCTCTTCATTATGGGGTGGAGCTAACCCTAAATTTTGGAGGTTACATTAATAAAGCCCAAGCTTTAGCAGGTCCTGCCAAAATGGAAAAGCATCCAGTATTAGCTAACAACCTGATAGATGGCAAACAGGTAATGATCTTTTGGCCCCAGCGGCTCTGGAAAGCTGTTCTCTCAAAAGATGCATTGTCATATGCATTGGTCAAAGAACGTACAATATCCTTGAAATTTGGAGTTATACACCACCGGTGCCAGCTCTCAAGTAGTGAGGTATATTCTAATATTTTATATAATATAGAAAATTAACCTTAACCTTCAAGTAACATGAACCAACACATGCTTTCTTTGCCATTTTAATGATCTTTGCTAGCACCATGTTAGGATGATAACATGGAATGGTTTAATAGCTCCCCGAGGTATTTTTTAATGGTATTATTCTGAGAGGTACAGCATTTCAAATCAATACCAAAATTCTCTTTTCTGTCCAGAAACTCTTGTTTTCTTTCATACACATGCACACACACACATAGGATTACATATGAGGATTGTATATGAATTTGTGAATCTCCATTTCATTGCTTTTTGAAAAAGCATATAATAATCTCCCATGATACTTTCAAAAGTGTCCTACTTGGCCGGGCTTCCTTCTGGACTTCTCTCTGCTCCCTTGAGTGCATTTAAAAAATGTTGCAGTGGTCATAAATGAAATGTACCTGTGGTTAAATTTAATAAATTTGTGATTCCCCCTCCCCCCACTCCCTAAAGCACCAATTCAGGCACTGAAAACTCAAGAAGTTGTTTTGGTCAGCTGTGGAAAAGAGCACTCCTTGGCCGTTTGCAAAACAGGAAGGGTCTTCTCGTGGGGATCTGGTTCTGAAGGGCAGTTGGGCATCAAAGAATTTAAGAAACAAAATTTTATACCCAAGTAAGTATTCTGATGTGACTTTGGGTGTATTGTAAGCCTATGTCTCCATTTTCTGTGTATATCATTATAGATGATTTGTGAGGGTAAATTAAATAATAGTCAATGTCTAATTGTGCATAAATTATCTGCTTCATTAATTTTCTAAGGCAAATTTTAACACTAGGAAGGAAAGGACCTCCTAGTTATTTACTCAAGGAATGTCAATTAATCTTAATTTTGAGTGGCAAGTGCAAAGTGAAGCATAGGATGTCTGTAACAACACAAAACCACTACTTCCTCATTGGGACCTCAGGCACACGCCCTCTCCTTCTTAAGGTGGCCCCCTAACTCGTGAATACATATACATGAACTGGGTTCAGCTCTGAGAAGTCAGGCTTCTAAATAGAAGGGTCAGGCTCTTTTTTTTTTCTTACTCTCTGACTCTTTAGGCCCCTAAATCAAAGCTCAGGGGAAAGTCACTGAAAGCCTAGGTTTAGTTTATACCCAGGGTCTTCCTAAAAAGGAATTGGAAAGTACTCAATAGGGGCAGGTAGGTGGCACAGTGGATAGGGCACGGGCCCTGAAGTCAGGAGGACCTGAGTTCAAATCCACCTCAGACCAAACACTTGACACTTACTAGCTGTGTGACCCTGGGCAAGTCATTTAACTCCAATTGCCTGAAATTTAAAAAAAAAAAAAGGTATTCAATATACACTAAAGATCAGGTAAAGGAGAGCTATTTATTTCTTCCACATACAAAAAATTCTTAAAACACAGAAGGCTCAAAAGCACATGATAGCAAAGATGAACAATTTGTAGCCACTATTATACTTTCCCAGGAAGTTGATCCCTAAAACATCAAAACATGAAACATTCTATGAGACTTGGCACTTGGAGAAACTGGACACAGAGGCTCCCAAGTGCCTCTGCTGAGGCTTTTCTGTCCTGAGATGCTAGAAAGATCCAGTGTTCTGACCCTCAAAGATCAGTGGCAAGTGGTAGGGGTGGGGGTGGGGAAGATAACCTGGGAAAGCAGAGGCTACTTACAGTATCCAGGGGAGGCTAGCCACAGTGGCATATGCCTTTAACCTCTGCTCCTTAGGAGACTGAGGTGAATGAGGCTGTTGTAAGTAGGGAGCTGCAGCTGGCCAAACTGGTCAGGATCAAGTGTCTGCACTAAGTCCGTTACCAATATGGTGATCCTTCAGGAGTTAGGTGTGGTGGGGTAGGATGCAAAGTATTAGACTGCCTCAGGAATGGCAAGCCAGCCCAGGTTAGAAATAGGTTGTTACAACTCCTGTGCTGATTCTTGGTGAGCTTGGGCTGTAAGTGGTTGCGTGTCCAGCCTGGGAAAGCTAAGGTATCCCTGTGTCAAAAAAAAAAAATAATCCCCAAAACTTAAAAACCCTCAGAACAGAACCAATCCACACCCTCCCTAAACCTTGGTTTTTCTTATTCAACTCCCACAATGCTCTAGAGAAAATCAAAGAATACAGTATACCGAAAGCCAAAGGAGCAAGGCCTATAGCCAAGAACACCTTACAGAGGGGGAGAAAGGGACATTAGACATTTCTGATGAAAAGACAAGAGTTGAGTAGGAACTTTGAAATACAAGCGCAAGAGAAACCTAAAAAGGTAAATTTATTTGAGCCATTGGAAAGGGGTTGTGTAATGATGTTGTGCTAACATTTTAATAGGCAAGAAAAGACATGTCTCTTCAAAACCTTACTATCTTTAAAGGCTATTGGAGTTAAATAAGAAAAACCAAGGCTTTGGAAAGGTGTGGATTGGTTCTGTTCTGAGGGTTTGAAGAAGGAAAAGAGAAAAGAGGGCAAAAGGAAGATTAGACTAATGTAGAAAGAGGAAGAAGGGGTGGAACTTTCTATTTCCCATTAATTGAAGAGTTTGAGAAGACTATATAAATATAGATGAAAGGATAGGTGAAATTGGCATCAGATTAACCTCATTTTTATCCAAAATGAACAAACATACACAAAGAGTTTGGTGCAGGGCTGTATCAGACTCTACAGGGAAACATGCAGGAATTAGGTGGGAGGGTAGGGTTAAGATGATATTGGGGACTGTGAGAAAAAAATAAAATACTATTTAAAAGGTGGGGGCGGGGAGATGATATTGGGGAAGTTATACACACAAGCAGAACAAACTTCCTGATCCTGAAGGGAGGTATTAAAAGATATGGAAGATGAGGGTGGGGGTTTGGGGGGAGGCAGTCAAGAAATAAAAATCCAAGATAGTGTTTTAGATTGTATTTTAGAAAATTGGAGAATGGCCAAACAAATTATGGTATGTGAATGTAATGGAATGTTTTTGCACCATCATAAAAGATGAAATTATTTCAGAGAATCCTGGGTTGAATAAACTGACAGTAAAGTAAGCAGAACCAGAACAATTTATACAAGGACAACAATACTGTAAAGAAAATCAACTTTTAAAAACATAAGAACTCTGATCAATGCAGTAACCAACCTTGAGTCTAGAGGACTTATGATTAATCATATCAGCCATGACAGAAAAGTAATGGACTCAGCACACAGAAAAATACAATCATTTTTGGATATTGTTACTGTGTGGATTCATTTTGCAGTGAGCTGCATTAATGAACTGTTTAAATATTTTTCCCATCATTTTTTGTTAAAGGGAAATTCTGGATCTTTCCAGTGTCAAAATAATACAAGTTTCTTGTGGACTTTATCATTCCATAGCATTGGCACAAGGTAAAAGCTTTGTTTTCATGGTAATTAATTTGTAATAAACACTTGCTTTTTTTAAAAATTTGCTTGATAATTGACACATTTTACTGTGTTGATATTTATTTTTAGTGAATTAAGAAGGTTGTGACTCTCTAACTTTAAAAGGTCTATTCCATTTTTATTTTTATTTAACTCATTAATTTTTTATTTATTATTTTATTTTTAAAGTATGAAATAAAATTAGCATTTTTATAACATAGTGGAATTAAAAAAAAGATGATTGTACATGAAACTTATGTACAACTTGCTATTCCTTTTAAGTACATAACAAAATTATCATGTAAACGTCTTTTTTTCCCTTTTTTTCCTTTTCCACCTCTTTCCCTCTCCCCAGGCTACCACTAAACACAAATGTATTTTTTTCCTAGTGTGTATAGTTAAATATTCATTTTCCCCCTTTCCTATAGTAACATAACTTCATCACAGTTTTGTTTCCTAAAAGAAATCTGCTAATGGTTGAACCTTAACTAGTATGTCTCCCCTGCAAGTTGGTTATATCTGCCAGTCCTATGAGATGTCTTTTAGCATTGGTTCAGGAGCTTAGTCTGAACTTAAACACACTGGGGAAAAGCAGCCACTTTGTAGGTCATTGAACTGACAGTTTTAATGCAACAGTCAATGAGCATTTATTAAGCACCTACTGTATACCAAGAGCTGTGCTAGTCATTAGAGATACAAAAACATAAATGAAATAGTTACCTCAAGGAGCTTATATTCAATAGAGGGAGAATATTCTGTAGGGAGGACAACACAGAGAACATATGGAAACTGCAGGGGGGTAGTGTTATCTAGATTCCAGAATGCTTTAGAAGGGAAAATATGCTTACATTTGCTTGTATTTTTTGAGTTTTTGTAGAACCCTAGTTGTTTTTTTATTGTTTTTATAAGACTCGAAGTGATCAACTCTGGCAGTTCTGTCCATCTTTGGCTCTTTAGGGTGACCTCTTTAGGGCCAGAGAGGGGTTTCTGATTCCCCATGCTGGGCTATCATGAGCTACTTCCTAATAACCTGAACAGATCTAGAATGATGGCACAGTATGACTGCACCATGAACCCCTCAAAGGAGGATTGCTGCATTTTGCATGCAATAAGTAGAACTGTTCAAATCAATAGCAGACTATGAGCTAAAGATTCTATCACTATATGTTAGGCATAACTAACCTTTTTGCATCTGGAAAATATTAGTAGTTCTCCAAGATATTATAAAGTGTTATAAATCAAATTTATGACTTATGAGTCATAAATTGTAGGAGTAGACTTATGAGTCTAACTTTTGGCATCCCAATGAAAAGTATCCATCCCAATGGAAAGATGTTGGTCTTGGAATCAGAGAGACCTGGAATCAAGTCCTGCCTGTGAGATACACACACACACACACACACACACACACACACACACACACACACACACTAAAAGAGTGTTATGGACTTTAAAGAATATCTAGTCCAATACTTACGAAGAAAGTCAAGTTGAGAGAGCTTAAGTGAGCCAAGGTTGCAAGGGTAGTAAGTGTCAGAGGTAGGATTTCAATCTAGGTCCTTAAATTCCAGATCCAATTGTACCTTGATACTTTTAACCATTTCATGCCACTTAGCCTCTTAATGTTCCAGGCTTTGAGAGCTCTGGGACTCAATAAATTACAAATGAGTTGCCAGTCTGCATCAAGTTGAGGAGTTTTCTATACTGCAAGTTCCCTATACTAATGAAATCCTATGTCAAAAAAAATCACATCATTAAGAGGAAAAAAATCCATCTCCTCAACTTCAGAGTGGAAAGATGACGGATATTTATGTCTTCTTGTTCTTTCACTCTACCTCCATTTAAGTTAATCCCCCAAGTTGATTTCTGCCATGTTCTTAAAAGTATATAGCATTGTGAGATGCTTCGTAGTCAATTTTAGTATTGCAATATAGCTGAAACCCAAAATTTTAAAATTTTATTTGTGTGTGTGTGTGTGTGTTTGCAGATGGCAAAGTATTTTCATGGGGAAAGAACCACTATGGTCAGCTAGGCCTGAAGGAAAATGTCTCCCTTCAAACCAGACCTCAATGGGTGAAATCGCTTAATGGTATTCCTATGGCTCAGGTTGCAGCAGGAGGGGATCACAGCTTTGCCCTCTCTCTCTCTGGTACTCCATATGGCTGGGGACGGAACAATGTGGGCCAGCTGGCCCTCAGTGGCAAGAATGCACCAGGTAATGAAATATTTTTGTCTTTCCAATAAGACATTGTCTTTTCAAGGTGAGAGGTCAGCCTTGTAAAGGATTCTTCAATAGAAAGGTCAATTATGAAAGAATCTTGGTGTGGGGATCTTTTTCAGGAGGTGATTGGTGGGTTCTTTCAATTTCTGTTCTCTGATTCTAAGATGTGGGGGTAGTTTTCCTTCGTAATTTCCTGAAATATTCTTTCTAGGCTCTTTTTTTTTATTATGCTTTTCAGGTAGTCCAATAATTCTTACATTATTTCTTTCAATCTATTTTCCAAGTCATTTTTTCTTTTCTTTTTTCATTCTTCTGACTTTGTTTTATTGCTTCTTGATATTTCATAGAGTCAAGCTTCCACTTGCCCAATTCTAATTTTTAAGGAATTATTTTCTTCAGAGAGTTTTTGTGCCTTTTTTTTTCCATTTGGCCAATTTTGCTTTTTAAGGAGTTCCTTTCTTCAGTGAATTCTTGTGCCTCTTTTACCATTAGGCCAATTTTCTTTTTTAAGGTGTTATTTTCTTCAGTATTTTTGTTTGTGTCTTGTTTACCAAGCTATTAATTCTCTTTTCATAATTTTCTTGCATCGCTCTTATTTCTTTTCCCAATTTTTTTCTTCCCTTTTATCTCTTTCTTTAACTCTTTCAGGAATTCTTTTTAGGCTTTTGTCCAATTATCTTTTTTCTTTAAAGCTTTGATTGTATATGTTTTCACATTATTGTCTTCTTTTGAGTTTGTGTCTTAGTCTTCTCTGTCATCATAGTAGATTTATATGGTCATTTTTTTTTTTGCTCATTTTCCAACCTATTTCTTGACTTTGAACTTTATGTTAAAGTTGCGCTCTACTCACTTGGGGATGGGGGTGAGGAGGCACCTCCTAAGCTTCAGGATTTTTCCTGCTACTGTTTTTAGAGCTAGTTTTGGGGATCTGCAAGGTTTTTTAATGTTTCCAAGGTGTTATTTGGAAAAAAAGGTGTTACTTAGATTCTGAGAAGAGGTGCATTCACTGCTCTCCTGGTCTGCACTCTGCTGTTTACCTAGGAATGGTCCTTGTCCCCTGCAGTCACAAGCACAAACATTCCTTTTGGCCCTGGAATTGCAACCAGAGCCCTTACTCCCTTGTGACTGACCACAAGTGCTCCTCTCTGCCCAGGAACTACTACCCAGAACTGCATATGGGCAATAGAGTTGCCAGTCAATGCCAGCTGTACCCAGGGCCAGCAAAGGGTCCTCTGTAATCTCTTTCTGATCCCCTCTTACTATCTCTGGGCTGACAGCTCCTGAAGCTGCTGCTGCAGCTGTGCAGCCACTTTAAAGGCCCACCATTGGTACTGCAATCATGTACGCTGTGGGCCAGCCCCCACCGCAGTGTCACAGACCTCTCCTATCAACCTCCTAAATTGTCCTAAGCTGGAAAAATGTCTCTCCTCAATTTTTGTTGGCTCCGCTGCTCTGGAATTTGAAGCATTATTTTCAAGGTGTTTGAAGGGGAGTGTTGGCTGGGTTGCTGCCTCTAATCTGCCATCTTGGTTCCACTTCCTTTTAAATGTTGATGATTTATGAATTTCACAAGTTCACTGAAGTCATTAATTGTTTTGATTAATTTTTTTAGTTGCTCGGAGGATGAGACATCTCTCCCTAAAATGAATTTGTGATATACTCTCCCACTAGAATCAAAGGGAAAGTAGGCTCAAAATTAGAGCACGTATGGCAGAGGGAGATAACTTATGGCTCCTAGAAATCCTCTTGCTCATGTAGTTTTTCTGCTTAGCTCCTTGTAGCACCCTGAATCTGCCTTTCTTCATCTTATCCAGTCTCTCCTTGGTTCTCAGTGAAGACACTCCTGTCAGCTGATCCAGCCTGGAGGATGCTGCTGGGTGTCAATGCAAAGATTAGAAATCCACAATACTCTTCAAAGCTCATAAAATTCTCTTCCCACCTGGGGGAGATGGGGAGGAAGAGACTTAGATCACTGTGGCCAAGGCACTGTCCTTGGCCCCAAGCAATTCCTTCTCAGAGAATCTTGGCTAGAAGCTTCTACCACTAAGCTTCTACATGTTAAAATCCCTAATTTTAATTAGTGTGTTATTTTTATAAAAGTTCTGCAAGACATTATCACTTCCTTCAGCTTATCTGAACATGTTTCCTGTGTAATATCACTTTAGTTCATCCAGTGACTTTCAACACCATCTAAATTGATGAAGTGCTTTTTGTATTGAGCCTAAGGCCTATGACTGATTATGCCTAGTGAACAATTGATATATGTTTGTGTCACTTGCTTTAAGTGGGATGGGAGCAATTGTCAAATCTGACCCTCATGGGCCCTTATACAGTTCTCTAAGGAATCTTTTGAAAACCTTAAAGAGTTTCCCAAGTAGTTAAAGTTAGAAACTTCCCCAGATGTGAATAGGGCATATTTGTTTGTTTTCCAATAGTACTCTAACCATATTGTGTAAACTTTGAGAAACATAGTGTGAAAGCTAGTTCTTGGTTGCTTTTAAGTCAGTAATAACTGAGTTTTGGATGGGTGTGAAGCCTGACTGTATCTAAGGCTTCAGGTGTCCTCATCAGAGATGCTAATGGACTAATTTTTTTCTTTCCTATGTTACCTCTTTTCTCCTGCTTGAATCTTATTAACCGAAATGAAACCTGAAGCTTTTTTTAAATGTATGATAGAAATTCTTTTTTCCTTCAATAGAGCAAATCCACAAACCTTGTTCCATTGATGAACTGAAGAGTCTTCATGTGACATACATCAGCTGTGGGGATGAACATACAGCTGTCCTCACCCAGGTAATAACAAACTTAAGCTTCTTAGAAATATAACAAAGTGTGTATATATGAGGGTGTGTGTGTGTGTGTGTGTGTGTGTGTCTGCATGTGTGTGTGTGACTGCATGTGTGTGCATGTATGTGTGTGTGTGTGTATGTGTGTGTACTGAATATTACTCTGTTTAAAAGGGAAGGAGAAGAAATATCTGGAGAATATCATTATTGTGGTTTGGAAGTCAAAAGATAAGTGTTCTATTCTCTGTTGAGCCACCAGGAGAATAACCTGTGTGACCAGAGATAAGTCACTTAACCTTTCTGGGCCTTAATCTCCTCAGCTATAACAAGGAAGTTAGATTAGATGATTTTCTATAAGGTTCCTTCCAGCTCTAAAACTCAGTGTTCTTATGTTAAAGTTAAAAGTGGGGGGCTTCAGTATACTCCTTTTAGACCTAGACAAATCTAACAAAAAGACAAACAACAAAGAAATTAAAGACTTAATCAGTTGAAAGAACTTAGAACTTTGGAAAATTAGAGATGATAGATTTCTGTTGACTACTAAATGGGAGTAGAAAAGAGTTTATATATTTTTAAGCTGGTTATTTTACCTTTACAAAAATTGAACATGTATTAAAGGATAAATACCTCACCCCAAAATGTGGAAAAGTAAAAATTTTAAATACATTATTTACTGAAAACAATGCAATAAAACTATGTTTAATAAAGGTTCATTTAAAAAAGAATTTAAAATTATTTATTTAGTGACTAACAATTACAAAAAACTGGTGAATCAAAGTACAAAATATAGAAACAGTAGAAAATTTCATCAAGGAAAATTATAATAAGGTAACATATGGGATTCAGTTAAAGTAATCCTTAGAGAAAAATGTATATCTTCAAATTCTTTTGCTTACAAAAAATAAAGAACAAATCAATGAATTGGGCACACAATTAAAAAAAAAAAAAAAAACAAATCAACTTTCCCAACAAAGCAACAAAGTAGAAATTCTAAAAAAACCAAAGAAGAGATTAATAAAATTAAAAGAAAAAGAATCCAATGAATTAATAAATAAAACTATAAGTTGGGGGATACTAATGAAATAGATAACCAATATGATTTTTTTTCAAAGAGAGGTGAAACAAATTATTCATATCAAAAAAGAAGAATTCACTACAATGGAAATAAAAATAAAGGCAATAATAGGAACTACTTTGCCCAATTATGTGTTAACAACAATTATAACTTAAAGGAAATGGATAAATTCTTACAAAAATATAAAATACCCAGATTAACAAAAGAAGAAATGATCACTTAAATAACACAAAACCTTGAAGTACTACATAAATACTAGCTATTATTACAATTGCAAAAATGAACTTATCAATCCATAAATGAACTCACAAAGAAAAAATTCAAGGAAATTTCAATATTGTAGAAACAGTTTACAAAATAGAAAAAGAAGAGATCTTTACAATCTCTTTCTGTGATACAAATTGCTAAGCCAGGTAGAGATGAAGCAGAGAGAGAAAACTGTGTACTGGTATCTTTAATAGATATTTAGACAAAAATTTTAAATAAAATATTAGCAAATAGGCTACAGCAACATATTAGAAAGATTATATACACTATCACCATGTGAAGTTTATACCAGGAATAGAAGACAAAAACATAATAAACTATATTCATAGCGTAAGTAAAAACCACATGGTTACATCAATAGATGTTGAAAAAGAGCTTTGACAAAAACCCCATACATATTACTGTTTTTTATTTTGTATTTTCCTAGAAATCATAGGAAGAAATGGACTTTTCCCTATCAATGTAAATAATATCCTTCTAAAACAAAAGCTGACATTATATGTAATTGTTAACAGTTAAAGGCTTTTCTAGTGAGCAAAGATGATCATTATCACCTTATGACTTAGCATAGCACTCAGAATGCTAGCTACAGCAATAAGACAAGAAAGAGAAATCAAGGGAATAAACTTAGGCAAAGAGGAAACACAAATATGACTTTTTGCAGATGATAAAATGATTTATATAGAAACCTCTGAAGTCTCAACTAGAAAATTCATTTAAATAATTAATGACTTCAGCAAAGTTGAAAAATACAAAACAAACTGACACAAATCATTAAGTACTCCTATATATTACCAACAAAATCCAGCAGAAGAAACAGAAAGAGAAAGTTACTTCAAAATAGGTGCAAAATGTTTAAAATACTTAAAAGTATATCTTCCAAGAGTTACCTAGGTATTTTATGAATTTAATTATAAAACACCCTTCGGAGAAATAAAGAAATAAAAAAATAAAGATAAATAACTGGAGAAGTAGCAATTACTTATGAATAGGCTGAGCCAATAGAATAAAAAAATACTAATTGAATTCATGCACTTATTTAGTGCTATTCTAATAAGACTGCCAAAAGATTACATTATAGAGCTAGAAAAAAATAATCACAGAATTCTTCTGGAGAAATAAAAGGTCAAGAATCTCAAGAAAAATAATGAACAAAAAAGTGGGAAGGAAGAGAGCTTAGCAGTACCATATCTTAAGTTATACTACAAATAAGTAATCATCAAACTTTTTTAGTACTGCTTAAAAGATAGAGACATCCATCAATGCAACAGATTAGTTACCCAGCATATGGAAACAAACAAACACAGTAGCTTCTTGTTCAATAAACCCAAGGACCCCAGCTACTGGGCTAAGGACTCATGATTTGGCAAAAGCTTCTGGGAAAATTGGAAAGTAGTTTGGCAGAAATTAGCACACCATATGCCATATATCGTATATTATACCACGTACTAAGATAAATTCAAAATGATTTAGAAGAGAAAGGAAATTACCATTCAAATCTGTGGATAGTGGTCATGTCCAAAGAAGGGTTAGAGAGAATCACCAAAAATAAAATGAACAATTTTAATTATATAAAATTTAAAAGATTTTGCACAAACAAAATCAATGCAGTTAAAATTAGAAGGGAAACAATGAACTAGGAGGGAAGTCTTTGCAGCAAATGTCTCGGATAAAGTTCTTATTTTCAAGATATGTAAGTAACTGAATCAAATTTATAAGAACAATCAACTTTCCTCAAAAGAAAAATTCTCAAATGATATGGACAGGTAATTCTCACAGAAAGAATTTCAAGTTATCAATAATCATAAAAAAAACCTCAAATCATTAATAATTGGGAAAATGCAAATTAAAATAACGCTGAGCTTCTATTTCATAGCCCACCAGATTGGCAACAGTGACAAATGTTGGAAAGGCTGGGAGAAAACAGGCACTCTGATGCACTGTTGGTGAAATTGTGAATTGGTCCATGTATTCTGGAAAGTGATTTGGAACTATGGTCCCCAAATCATTAAATTGTGCATATCCTCTGATCTGTGATACCACCACTAGGCCTATAGAGATCAACCTTCTGCTTCCTCTAAAGCCAAAGAGATCAAAGAAAGAGGGAAAGGATCTATAGGTACGAATAATATTTATAACAGCTATTTCTGTGGTAGCAGAAGTAGGAGAATAATTATTATATAATGGCCACATTATAAAGAAATATTTGAAAGATTTTTGAACATCAATATAATAACAAACTAAGATCCCAAGAGACAAAAATGAAGTTTACTGACCCCCTCCTGCCATAGACATGATGGATACAACATGAAGACATATGTTTTTGGACATTATTTATACAGAAATTTGTTTTGCTTTTCTATACATAATTGTTTGGAGTGGTTTTTTTTTTTTAATTTTGTCCAATGTTGGGAAAGGAGGGAACATAAGGAAGAGAAAATAAATGCTTGTTTATTTTTTTCTTAATAAATTTGAGGGAAAAGATCCTATGATTCTCAATAATCCTTCAAATGTGTATGCTATTGTTATTCTCATTCCTCTTTACCAATGAAGAAACTGAGACCTGGAGGGTCTAGGTGACTTGTCCAATTTTGCACAGCCAGTAAGTGATGGAGGTAAAATTTGAACTCAGTTTTCTCTAGCCTCCAAGTCTAATGCTGCTTGGACTGGTAGAGGTATCAGTCCATTATTGCATTTGACATGAGGCCCTAACTTCAGGTGGAGCAACAGCATCACAGAATCTCAAGGTTTGAAAGGACTTTTGAGAAGGAGTCAGCAAGTTGTGACCCATGTTGCCTGTTTTTGTTGGGTCCATGAGCTAAGAAATGTTTTTATATTTTCATGGGCCACAGTTTGTCAATCCCCACCTTAGAGGTCCGACTAATATCTCCACTGGAATCCTCCATATTACATTTTGGAAGATGGTCGTCTAACTTCCCCTTCATGGTTTATCCAGATTCCATCCACCATCAAATAGCATTCTCATGCTTTTGAGACTCAGTCCTGAATCCACTTTTCTTTCTTCTTCCCCTTTCCCCCTAATTTGCCTACCTAGTCTAATGAAAATGGATTCTACATTCAAATTGAGAATAGATTATATTGTTTGAAAGTTGCTTGTGGAATTTCAAATATTTATTTTTTAAAAATCCTTTCTATTGTGATTTGATTTCAAAAGCTTTTCTTAAAATTTGCGAAGCTGATAGGTACATGTAGAGCAAGAGGCAAGAAATATTCCCCTTCAGCCACAAGTATCCTTTTTAACCAGTGAAGTCTTCTAAAAGGAAATTATTTTTTAGGAAAATAACCACATGAAACATGGAGAAATTTTGGTACTACTCTTGAGCTAGCTATCTAGGCATTCACTAGAATTTTGCATGTTCAATACACAAAATCTACTATTACTTGGAACTATGCTCTTTAATTTTTCATTTCCTATTACTAATCAAAAGCTGATCTGCTCCTTACAGGATGGCAAAGTGTTCACATTTGGAAGCAATAACTCTGGACAGCTGGGACGTAGACAGGTTTCTAAGAAGAGGGGTCCTCAGACTGTGGATTCAGCTCATGTGTTTTCTCAAATAGCCTGTGGAAGGTAAAGTCTATATTCCTTTAACATGAGCAAAGGTTAAAAGTTTCAAACATGATGTTTTGTTATCCAGAATAAACTCTTATACCATCAATGCATTTTAATGTTTTTGTGCCTGAGATATGTAACTCTTTAAAGGAAGTTTAATTTTTAAAAAATGCTAACAGAGCATACATTCAATCTTCTTTATGTTTTGAGATAGAAATAAAATTTGAATACAAATCCATAAGGATGAAATGATGTTTTAAATTCTGCCCTGAAAAGCTGAGCAAAGAGTTAGCAAATGAATCTGAAAGCACAAGAGATATACCTTTGACTGGATAGTGGTCATAAAATCGGCATTTCCTCCAGCAAAATGCTTAAGTTAAGAGAAAGTAAAATGGCTTGAACTACACAATTAAGACTAATTTGCACTAATCTGAAAATGTGGCCAAACAAATTGCATTTGAAAAACTCAAGTTGTTGAAAATGAAAACTTCCTTTAAAGAGTCACATATCTCAGGCACAAAAACATTAAAATGCATCGATACTGATGGGATAAGAGTTTATGCTGGACAACAAAATATCATGTTCTCTTAACTCTTCCTTACCTCCCAAATCCTGGCAGGTGCCAAGTCTCATTGACATGTACACATTTCTCCTATTCCTCCTCTTCTTTCTACTTATGCAGCCACTTTTCTAGTGCAAGCCCTGATCAAGTCTGTCTGAACTCTTACAATAAGTCCTTAATTGGGTTCCTGGTTTGTTTTCTCTCCCCTTTCTGATTCATTATCCAGCAGCCATCGCCAGTTTTCTTGACCTATGTCTTGCCGCTAGACTGATGACTGGAGGAGAGAGTGAGGCTGGTGACTTTGCGCAGCCCTGCCTCACTTAAATCCAATCCACTTGCAAGTCAAGACATCACTCTGCTGATGTCATTGGCCCTCTGGACCGAACAACAACATTATCCAAATGGTTGTCAAAATAATCTGCCCAAGTCAAAGCTCTGATAAAAAATTTTCAGTGATTCCCTATTACCTACAGGATGAAATGCAAACTCCTCCAAGCTAATATTTAAAGTCCTCCAAAATCGGCTCTCACCTGCCTTTCCAGACTTCCTTCATAGTCACACAATCTATTTTTTAACCAAACTGTCCTTGAACTTGATACTCCCACTTTGCACGGGCATAACTCGAATTCCTGCCCTCCTCATCTCCACTACTTAGAACAACCAACTGCTGCCGCCTTTGGATGGCCTTTCCTGATGCCCTCAAGTTGTGTTTTTTCCCTTCTCCAATTATCTCATGTTGATTTATCTGCTCAGGGCATTTGGCTAACTCTCTAGGATAATAAGTCACAGAGAAAGTGTCAACTTGCATTGGCAGAGAGAGTTTCAACTCCTGGTAGTTTTCAAAACCAATGAAATCATCTGTAAATCCCTCTATAAATAATTTGCCCCAGTAGACTATAAACTACTTAAAGGGAGGGACTGGTTTGTTTTTATCTTTTTATCTTAAGCACCTCAACCATAATAGGCACCTGACAAAATTTTTTTTTGTCTTTTAAATTTAATTAACACTTTTTTTTTGAGAATTTACTCTGGCAATAAAAAAGAAGTCAAATATGTGCTTGTGTGTTCAGAAGGCTCACAGTCCAGCAGGGCTGTGACAAGAGGAAACAACATAATGACGCAGAGCTCCTTTACAGAGGCTGCTGTAGCCAGGTTAACTCTAGGCCGGGACGTGAATCATTGTTTCTGCATTTCGTTTTATCATCCTGAATTGTAGAGTAATTCAGGGACATGTCTGTGTGTTCGCTCAGTTAATAAAATGTTACCATATCTCTTAATCCACTAAGATAAAAGTCCCCACGAATTCATCAAGTGTTACTTATTTAATAATTGGAGAAACTTCCTTTCCTAATAGTCATTACCCATCTCTCTATATCACCCTCAATGTCCTAGGGTCAAATAAACATTAAAGTTACTGAATATGCACTTTATTAATACTGAAATCAATAATAAAGACATAGATAATTATTTACAATATTTTAGCTGTGAGGATAGTCATCACCAGAGTTATCTCAGACCCTCACTGTAGCAGTAAATGATTTCACTTCTGTATTTGCAAGATAAAGGTTAAGCTAGTTTGGTCAATAAAGATAATTGCTCTATCCTCTTTCGTTTTGTCTTCTCCCAGCTTCTCCCCAGCAATATCAGCAAAAGAATCTTGATCTTCTCTTCCGGAATCATTCTATAAATAGTGTCTCCAGACTACCAGTTAAAATTGTCTCTGAAAGATACAGTAGTAGTATCTGTAGTCTCTTTGGGAGAGCCTAATGAAACAGGTGTTAGACTAGTGTAATTAAAACTATAAATAATTGCTAGGTAAAAATAAAATAAAAATTTTGTAAGACCTAATTCTAAGGGAAAATTTATTCATTATCCATTTATTTATTCATTATTCATTATCCATTTTGTAAGACCTAATTCTAAAGGAAAATTTATTCAATTCAATTAAAGTATTTAAAATCATTTGTTTTAAGTGGGCCGTCTTTAATGTAACGCACAACACCTAGTAAAATGCCATGCACTTATGAGAGCTAATGTAAAAATATTTTGGACTTGACTTCATGGGAACCATAGGCAGTAAAAAACCTGACAGCTCAGAGATCATCCATCTTGAAGTTAATAATAATAATAAGATTGAGGACATGTTATTTTTCATCTTTGTATCTCTTGTGCCGAGCACAGTCCAGTGTATACTGTAGGGATTTAAGAATTGTTTTATCAGATTGAGTTGAATTTGCATCTTCAATATGTAATATTTGATAATATTCACAGATGTTACCACTCTAAGAATGGAATTTTGATATGGCACTGGGTACATTATATAAATTATACCTGTTACTGTATTGCTAAGAAACTTCACCTTTCTTTAGAATAAAAAACTGGGAATCTAATTTAATTTATACTGTGTTATTTCTCCAACAGTCATCACACTCTTGCATATGCCTATACCACTGGCCAGGTGGTATCCTTTGGTTGTGGGTCTCAAAGTCACCTGAACAGCCTTTTGCAACCAGGCAGCCTGGAACAGAACTTCAGTATTAGCAATCTGATTTCTTTGAGTGGTAAGAAGGATTAGAGCTTTTCTATTCTTTGGGAAAGAGAGAAGCTATTCAGCTTCTTTCTCTACAATCTTGCAAAATTATTTTTGTTTTAGAACTGTAAATTCTGAATTTTGTAAACTCTTTCTTGTGCAATGATTCCTGTAGTCAACAAATCTGTAGTCTTTAATTGTTTAAAAGTTTATGTAGGTAATTTTTGCTTTTACATTACCTTCATTTCCAAATATATCCCTCTTCCTTCACCATCTGATTAGCTATCCCTTTCAACAAATAACAAAAAAGAGAAAGAAAACAAAAACAGTTCTAACATATCAGCTCAGCCTGACAGTATATTCATTGTTCCACACCCAGATACCCCCACCTCTGCAATGAAAGGAAGGAGGTGCTTTTTCGTGTCTTTTCTTTGGAGCCGAGTTTGATCATAATGATTATACAGCTTTTGTTTGGTTTTTTATTTTTTTGCTCTTTCCATTTATATCTGTATAGTCATTGAGTATATTGTTTTCTTGTTCTGCTTACTTTGATTTACATATGTCTTCCTATGCTTTCTTTTTTTAAAATTTAGTTTATTTTTTATTATATTTTAAGTTCTAAGCTGTCTCCGTACTTCCCCACCCTGCACTGGAGAAGGCTTATGCTTTCTTCAAACTCTTTCTTATGGAGCAGTAAGATTCCATTACATTCATCTTCCACAATTTGTTCAGCCCGCTCCCAAACAATGATATTAGCTTTGTTAATCAATTCTTTGCTGCTACAAAAAGTACGCATTTTGTTGTATGTGGGACTTTGTGTCTTTGACCTTCTTGGGGAATATGCTTAACAGTGACATCCCTGAGAAAAAGAGCATAAACATGTCAGTCACTTCCTTAGTATAATTTCAGATTGCTTTGCAGATTAGTTAGACCAGTCCATGACTCCACAAACAGTATATTGGCTTTTCCATAACTTTATTGTATTTATAAAGTTTAAAATGACACATAATTCAAAGGGAAAGGGAAAAATATTTGGAATTAGAAGGCCGGGGTCTGAATCTTAATCCAGATACACTACGTAGGGCTGTGTAAATCCCATAACCTCTCTGAGAGTCCATTTCCTCATCTATAATATAGGAAGGTCGCACTGGATGAATTAAAAGGTCCCTTTCAGCTCTAAATCCATGATTCTATGAAGGTTCATAAATTGAGGGCATAAATATCACCTAATTTACACCAAAGTATACCAGCCTTGTTTCATGACATTCCCTTGTTTTCAAGGACACACAAACTCAGTTTTATGTCATTCTTTCAGACTTTGCAGATGTTCAAGTGAAAGACATATTTGCAGGAGGAGATGCCAATTTTGTGACCGCTATCCAGTCGAAGGTATATCTCTTGTGCTTTCAGATTCATTTGTTAACTCTTTGCTCAGCTTTTCAGGGCAGTATTTAAAGCATTATTTAATCCTTATGGATTTGTATTCAAATTTTATTTCTATCTCAAAACATAAAGAAGATTGAATGTATGCTCTGTTAGCATTTTTTTAAAATTAAATTATTTTTCTCATGGGTCTTTAATGCATGTTAGTAGATTAGAAAATTCTTCACTTATTTTTGTTCTAAGTTCAAGCAACCAAAAATCTGTTATAGTAGAAGAATTTGCCATTACGCTAGGGATGAAATTTAAAATATTTACATAGGGAATTTACATTAGATGACACATTTTCATTTTATATTTCTTAGGCTTACAAGAGAGGAAGCGTGGCATAGCATAATGGCTAGGGAACTATCCTCAGAATCAATAAGAGTCCAGTTCAAGGCCTATCTCTGCTATACTAGCTCTGTGACCCTGGACAAGTCACTTAACCTTTCAACGCTTCCAGACAATTTTCTAAGACTATATCTTCTTCATACCTTACTGGTGTCAAACATGCAGCCTGAAGGCTGCATGCCATCCCCACACTACTTCTGAGTGCTCATGGAACTAGATTAAATGTAGTTGGGAAGTAATTTGCAAAATAAAAAAATGCAATGAAACATGGATAACATCATATTTTTAAATTAAATCCATATGCATCCCGCAATCCCCATTTCTAATTTGATTTTGTCATCATGGAAATCATAAGTCCAATTTTTTTTAAAGCTTTGTAATCCTACCTACCATTCATGTTTCATTTTCCTTTAAAGGCAAACAGTGATTCATCTATATAGAGTATTTCTTCACCTGTGATGTGATTAAGCTCAGCACATCCTTCTTCAAAGAAGGCTCATTTTGGCATCAGAGACACGATTAGTAAAGAAATGATGCAGAATTTTCTGCCTCATGACAAAGGCTTTAGAAGGTGATGTAGAATGTTTAGCCAAGAGTTGGTATCTTCAAAAATCATTACTTAAAAAACTTTTCCCTTCCAGGAAGTGATTGAGACATCACTCATTTGGGACATTTGGTTCCAGAGTAGCTTAATAAATGCTAAATGACTGACTTACTGGAGATGTCAAAGAAACCACTTCTGGTTGCTTAATAAGGTAGTGGTTATGCCAATGTCATGTGCAACACCCCAAGACTTACAGCTCTGTTTACATGTTTTTTCATCTTTTTTTTTTTCTCTTCTTGGAGGATGTTAGTTCTTCACATTCCGCTAGGAGAAGCCTACCGCAAATCAACCAGATCAACCAAATTCTGATTAAGAAATGGACCACAGTGGAAATTGAAAGTGAAGAGTATAAAGAGTCAGAAAGGTTATTCTATACCTTTTTCTCCCTTTGTACAGCAGGTTTTAAGACTATGGCAGGGGGGTATAATACCTTAAATATCATTATTTGAAAGACTGAGAAAGAAAAGAAAGAAGAGAGAAAATCAATCCTTTGCTGTGAATCCCCCATAGAAAAACAGGCTCTAGCTGTGGAACTTTGGACAAGTCACTTAACCCCAATTGCCTAAAAACAAAAATAAAAATAAAAACAGGCTCATCAATTTTTGAATTGAAAGAATCATTACAGATCATTTGATTCATGGGATCGTTGATTTAGAGCTGAAAGGGACCTTAGTCACCACCTAATTCAACCCCCTCATTTTACAGATGAGGAAACTGAGGCCCAGAGAAATTACGTGAGGTCATTCACCTACAGGGGACTCTTCTGCAGTACTCTGAATTAGCCAATGGTCCAACATGTTTAGAAAAGAGTGCAAAAGAGGAAGGACCAATGTCATTAACTTGCTATGTGATTTGGAGCCTCTCGGTAAAGCAGGCCTGCCTTTCTCCTTTTCCATGCCCACTGACTTGCAAGCCAACACATCATCCTGCTGAGGTCATAGCTTCTCTGTAAGAACAAAGGAAAAACAACAACAATACATAAGCTAATGTTTAGCTGTTAAAATTTCTTTCTCCAACAATTGTTGAGGGTGCCCCCAATAACCCTACCACTAAGGGAGCACGTAGGATCTCTCTAGATGTAAAGAGAGATTAGTGTAGACCAACATTTTTGTTTTCTTAGGACTAATGTAATTTCACAGCCTATACTATTCTTTTTGTTCCTTTAGAAATGTTAGGCTTCATTGGAGGATTGTGTTTTGCCTTGAGAATTTTTTTTTTGTATTTTTGAAATACCTGATGTCTCTGCCTCCTTCCGATTTCTTCCTCTCAAATTAGAGACTTATCTGTCTTTGCAAAAATATTAATTGGTTTCATCCAATTGGAAAATCCTGATTTTTATTTTTGTTCTTCTTTAAGTCATAAGATCAGGAAATGCTAAATATAGGAAAATGACTAATGGAATCATTACAACAGTGTCCAAGCTTTTATTACCTTGGGACTGCCCCTGGTGTTTAGTAAGACACAAGAATTGTCAATGGTGGTCTTGGTGGTGAACAATCAATCAATCTAGGTAGGGAACAGGGACTGTAATATAATTACAGAGGTAACCTGGGCAATTTGATTCCATGATCACCTTCACTGACCCTCCTTGGTGTTCGTATGTATTCATAGAGCTGTATGGCAGTTTCTTCTCTGAATTTCTACAGGACATTTCAGTAGAGTACATGTTACTTAAATAAAATCAATTTAAAAACGAGCACTAGGTGGTGCAGTAGATAGAGCACTGGCTCTGAAGTCAGGAGGACCTGAATTCAAATCTCAATTCAGACACTTACTAGCTGTGTGACCCTGGGCAAGTCACTGATCCCCAATTGCCTACAAACAAAAAACAAAACAAGCACTATGAGACACTGTCATTCACTATAAAGCACAATAGCTTTCAATCATAGGCTCAACATTCAAGTTGGCCTAACTCTGTGACCTTCGGCAAACTATTTAATCTTTCTGGGCTTTGGCTTCCTCATCTGTAAAAGATAGAAGTAAACTAAGTGACCTCTAAGGTTCTTTATGGCAGTAATCTATGATCTTATAAGTAAGGAAGTTAATAATTTTTCCTGTAAACTTTAATTTTTGTTTTTTGACATCATATATTCACAACTCTAGGCTTATACACAATTTTTTGGTAGGGGATATGTCTCTTATGTAAAGTAAGATATACTTGCACATGTTAAAAAATAAATTCTTCTTGGACAACTCCAAAATCAAACTTCATTTATGTTATTATTTTGGACTTCACATATATAATTGCCTATTGCCCACAACATAGAAAAGTTGTGGGTAATTTATACTGTAATTGATCATGAAAACAGAAACTATGAAGAAGTATGCTTTGTTGTTTGTTTTGTTTTAATTAACCTTTGTGTTCTTTCTCATGTAGGGAAATTTGTGAGATATTTTCATATCCTGCTTCTCTGACTGCCAGTTTTTTGAAGAAAAGGTAATAATACTCATGATGATATTTAATTTCATTAAATAGAATAATAGCTAGCATTTATAAGTGTTTTAAGATTGCAAAGCAATTTATACATATCATCATACTTTATCCTCATGACAGCCCTGGGAGATAGATACTATTATTATCTCCATCTTACAGATGAGGAAACTTAGGCAGACAGAAGTTAAGTGACTTACTCAGGGTCACAAAGCTAGTAAGTATCTGAGGCTAGATTTGAACTCAGGCTTTCCTGACTCCATGTCTAGTCTATTCACTGAACCACATGGCTACCTGAGGAAGGGGATTTTTTTCTTTTTTACCTAGCATGATACAGGTACAAAGATGCCTGCAAAAAATGCTTGTTGATTGATAGATCAAGAACATTCAGAAAGATTTCTAAAGATTGACTGTTTTCAATATATTCGATGCCATCCTAATTAAATTACTAAAAAATTATTTTACTGAATTAGAAAAAAAAACAACAAAATTAATTTGGAAGAAAAAAAAGTCAAGACTATAAAAAGAAATAATGAAAAAAATGTAAAGGAAGAAGGTTTAGTAGTACCAGATCTTAAATTACATTGAAAGGTAGTAATTATCAAAACTATCTGGTACTGGTTAAGAAATAGAAAGGTAGATCAATGGAACAGAGTAGACATACAATTTACAGCAGCAAATAAATATAGTAACCTTGTATTTGAGAAGTGTAAAGACTTGAGACTTGGGGATAACAATTCATTATTTGGTAAAAAAAAATGTTGGGAAAACTGTAAAGCAGTGTGGCCGAAACTGGGCATAGACCAGTATTTTTCACCATTTACCAAGAACGAATCAAAATGGATACATGACCTAGATATAAAGAGAGACATTATAAGAAAATTTAAAGAACATGGAACATATTACTTATCAGACTTATGGATAGGCAAACAATTTATGAACAAACAAGAGACAGAGAGCAGAGTTTTAAGGGACTTTTGGAAAGAGTTCACTTGGAAACACATGAGCAAAAAGCCTAGCATGACAATGTCAAATAGACAGTCAGATCAAAAAACATTTAATATTAAATACTTTACTAGGCACAAGGCTCTCTGTTAAAATACAAACAAGCCATGTAACCTGTGCCCTCCAAGAACTTACACTCTAATGGGGGAGTAGCCTACATAGTACTGGAAGGAGGTGTGTTTGGGGAGACAGAGAGGAAGTAGAAATGCATCAGCTTGGTGTGGAGATAGACCGGAAGCAGCATGGTATCCTGGTTCCAGGCAAGATAAGGAGAAAGCTTAGTGAAGTCCAAGGTTGTGAGTGCAGGGAGTAGGGGGGATGAGGATGATGCCTGGAGTCTAGACAGCATGATGTGGAGATGGCTAAAAACAAAGACGGAAGGGTGCAAGCTTTAGAAGAAACATTGCATCTGGAGACCCAACCCCTCATTTATGTATAGACATAAGCCAGTGAAGTAGCACATTGTATTTGGACGTGTTCCTGCTTCATCTGTGCAATGATTTTTGGTTATTGTTTTGGTTTTTGTTTTTCAAAGACCTGATGATACTATTCCTATTAATGTTGACTTACAAATGGCAAGAAACGTCTTTGAGGAACTAATGCAGAAGGACTGGATTACAGACATGGTAATAATCTCTATTTTGCTATACAAGGCATTGTACATGTGTACTTATTTGTAAAATGTGCTGACATAGAATAGGAATTTAATTATAGGTATTTCACATGAATTCATTTTTAATTCAAAAGATTTTGTTAGCTGGAGAAGATGTCTTAAGATCCTACCACTTTTTCTTCCTGCCCACTTATAATGGACTATTTGGAACTCTCCTTCCAAGATCTGACCCTAGCATTGGTATATGAAACTCCTATATGACATTTTTCAATATTGATAGCATGGGGGGATGTAAAGGAAAAGACTGGTAGCTCAGACTATGGTCTGAATCTCAGATTTCCACTAACTACTCATGTGATCTTCAGCATATCACTTACCTAGATTGAGCCTCAGTTTTTTTAAATTAAGTAAACTGAGCTAGATGGTTTCTATGTCCATTCTAGCTCTAAAATTCCATATAAGGGGGAAAAGAGACACTATTTAATATTTATTTTTAAATTATGACAATATTATGTGAAGGCAAGTAATATGTTTTATGGTTCCCTTTGTTTATTACCAGCAGTTTGTAGTTCTATAAAATAGTTTTTTTGGTAGGTTGATTGGTATGGTACTGAATAAGCGAATTAATTTAGGTAGAATTGTCATTTTTATTATGTTGGCTTGATCTACTCATGAGCAATTGATATTTTTCCAATTATTTAGATCTGACTTTCTATGTGTGAAAAGTATTTTGTAATTGTGTTCATATAGTTCCCGTGTATGTCTTTACAGGTACACTTCCAAGTATTTTATATTGTCTAGTTATTTTAAATGGAATTTCTTTATCTCTTGCCGCTGGGCTTTGTTGGTAATATATAGAAATGCCGATGATGTATGTAGGTTTATTTTATATCTTGCAACTTTGTTCAAGTTGTCAATTATTTTAAGTAGTTTTTTAATTGATTCTCCAGGATTTCTCTAAGTATACCATCATATTGTCTGCAAAGACTGCCAGTGTTGTTTCCTCATTGCTTACTTAATAGGCAATTTGGAGGTGAGAACAGCCAAAGTTGGCAAGAAAAATGATTTTTTAAAATGAGATAGAAGGTGACCCTTCTGTCCACTATGACTCTGCAGTGATAAGAAGTCTGATTTTTCTGCATAGATGTTCCTGGCGCCAGGAAGACCTGAGTTCAAATCTAGTCTCAGATACTTTCTAGTTGTGTGACCCTAAATCACTCAACCTCTTTCTGCCTCAGTTTCCTCAACTATAAAATAGGTATGATAATAATAATAGCACCTACCTCATAAGGAGGTTGTGTGGATCAAATGAAATAATGTTTGTAAAGTGCTCAGCACTGTGCCTGACACGTGAATGCTTGTTCCCATGATCAGAATTGTATGTTTTTGTACCTTGCATCCATCACTTCTCTGTAGGTAACATGCTTCATCATAGATCCTTCAGAGACATGATTGGTCTTTGCTTTGATCAGAGTTCTCAAGTCTTTAAAATGTTGCTATCCTTATATAAGCAGTTTTCCTGGTTCTGGTTCTTCAGCGTCAGTTCATACTCTCCAGGATTCTCTGAAATTGTTGATTCATTTCTTAGGCCTTAATAATATTCCATTCCATTCTTATATCACCATTTGTTCAGTCTTTCCCCTGGCATCTAAGAGACAATCTAAGGCACTCCCTTAGATTTTAGTTCTTCTGTTTCTTTACACACACACACACATACACACACAGACACACACACACACACACACAGAGACACACACACACCCGCCTCACCACCACCTTTCAATTCCTCATCAAGAAGTTTCTTTTGCTCGTGACTATTCCCTCCCTTGTATTATCTGCCCTCTTAACCCATCCATTTTCCATCCCTCTATTCCCCTGTTGATTTTGAGTTGAAATTCTACAGTGAACTTTGTGTGTATGTATTCAACCCTAATTCATCCGTTTTAGCTGAGTAAAGTTCCTCTGATGCCAGCTCCTCCACTATACCCTCATCCATGTTTTATATTCTTTCCACATATTCCAATCGGAAATAACAAGTTTGGTCTCCTTCTTCCTCTTTTCTGCATTAGTCTATTCTTCCTTTTACTCTCCCTTTTTGCTTCCTTCTTCAAACCCTTAGAACAGAACCAACCTATCCCCCAACTTCTGTTTTTCTTATTTAATTCCCACAATGACCTTTAAAGAGAAGAAGCCTCTGACACACTTGTTCTTTTCTCCTTTATTAGAATGTTAGCACTACATCATATAGCTGCTTCCAATTGTTCAAATCAATTTGCCTTTTTAGGTTCCTTTGGATTCTTGTGTTTGTATGTCAAAATTTCTACTCAGCTGTGGTTTTTTCCTCAGAAATGCTTGAATGTCTTCTATTCCATTAAAAATGCATTTTTATTGGTAGGATTATACTAAGCTTTGCAATGTGTAGGGGAATAGGAACCACAATAATTTCTCATCATCTTGATGAGCTAATAGTGTAGAAATAAATCCTCCAACCACCTGCTGGCCTAATGGTGAAAATAAGGAGAAATAAAATATAACAAAATACATGAATGGATAGTCCCACTTGTTGTAACAACTATTTATTGTCCTTTTGTAAGAGACATTTTCAGGCTTGTCCGAAAGGACCTCTTTCACAATTGTAAAAGTGTTTGGTCAGCTCCCCTTGTCTCTTGCCCTTGAATAGGGAATATATTCTCAGTCTAATAATAAACTCTGCCAGTGGCATGGAAAACATTCTCCCAGAACTCCTCCTTTTTCCTTGGGCTCATTCTCCATCTCTCTACCTGTCCCTCTCAGTGAAAGGATACTTTTCTATCCTAAGCTGCTGTGGGATGCTGCTGATTGGCTGATGTGTAATCTAAATCCCATCCATCATCACACTAGTGGTCCCTTGGCTAGGGGGTTCCATTTTCCAATTTCCTGTGAGCTTCTGGTTGACCTTTTGTGCATTTATGAGGTAGAAAAATAATTTACTGTAATTTTTCACTGATTTCTCCATCATTATTCTGTCTGGCACAAACTTCACAGTTTTGCTGCTGTAGGTATGTGGGAGCTAAGCAGTGTGCCTCCCCTTCAGGTGGCTAATTTTGGAAGGAAATCCAGATGCCTGCTTTCAGAGTTATCATATCACAACATTGTAGGTTGATATCTGAGCACAACACATGCTATGAGAAATCATGGATTCATTTTTTTTAAAAGAAAAAATAGTACTTTTTAAAAAAAAATTTTTTTGGTCTCTGTTATTTTGTCAATTTAGGGAGCTCTTGGACAAGAAATTCCTTCCACACATGCAGATCAGCAACTCCTCTGTGATTTCTAGTCTTTGATATTTGCCTGAGCACTGCTAGGTTAAGTGACTTGCCCAGGGGTCACATATCCAGTAGATGTCCGAGGCAGGACTTGACTCCAGGTATACCTGATTAATCCCAGTTCTATACTCATTATGCTACACTACCTCTCTTTATAAATAAATAGCATAGGACAGCTTTTTCTTTTGAATTCAGAAAACGTGTTTCCCTGAAAAGTGCAGTGATAGTGTTAGTTGATGATGGTGGGTCAAAGATGGGAGGCCAAACTGAAAGCAAAGAAATGTATTAGCATTCTAAAGAAACTATTAACTGTAGCTTCAAGTGCATAAACAATTCTATTAGAAAGACTCCATAGTAATTTTGGATTCATAGTTTACTTTGTGTGACTTTGACTCCAGTTGCTTAACTTTTCCCTGTTTCAGTCATTCCACTTTGTTAAATGGGAAACACAATTGTTGTCAAGAGTATATGATAATTATGGGACAGCTAAGTGGTATAGTAGATAGAGTGCCAGCTCTGGAGTCAGAAGGACCTGAGTTCAAATCTACTCTCAGACATTTACTGTGTGACCAGAGGCAGGTCACCTAACCCCAGTTCCCTCCAAAATTTTTTTTAAAGAGTATGTAATACAGGATAGATAAACTGAGCACTTGGTTCCAGGAGGATTAAGTAGTTTTTTGTTTTGTTTTGTTTTGTTTTTGTTTTGTTTTGCTTTGTTTTTTACCAATGTGATACATTTTAGTGGCATTGAAGAGACTTTCATTTGAGTCTTCTGGACCATGCCACTGTCCTTAACTATGCCTTTTTAGTAAACATTGTTATTTGAATATTTTTTCAATATGTTTTTGACTACAGATAACTACATGTCTCAAAGATTATATGCTCAAGGTCCTTCCATGGGATTCTCCACATCAGGAAGCTTTATCAATTTTCCTTCTACTCCCAGAATGTCCTCTAATGCATAAACCTGAGAACTGGGAGTCTCTAGTGGTCCCATTCGCGAAAGCTGTTTGTGAAATTAATGACCAGTCTTCAGAAGTCCTGGGTAAGATCAGTTACATTTAGTATGATTTATCTTCGAGTCTTTTATAAACAAGTATTCCAATTAACCTGGACTTTAACATCAACTGTATTCTACTCATGATAAGGAATACAATTAATTTAACTTTGTTGGTCTTCAAAATGATAAATTAAAACTAGAATTATATGGGAATGTAACTTCAATGAATTTTGTTAGATCATTAGATTTTGTTTTTAATTCCAGTGGGATTTAGTCTGTAAAAGGTATGTCATATGTGGACAATTTATTCGACTAAATTAAATTCAGCAAATCTTTATTGAGTACCTATTGGGTTTCAGGCACTTGGGGAGACACAGGATGATGATAGCATAAGTTAGAGGGGGATAAGTGCCTAAAGGAAGTATAAATAAAGTGCTTTGGGGAGGGAGGGTAATTTAAAGCTATTGACTATTAAGGAAGGTTTCAGGAAGAAGCTAGACAAGGGTAGGATTTGGATAAGGCAGATGCAGTATAAGCAAATGTAGGAGGAGAGGAAAGTGCCTGTAATAGCACTAAAAATTCAAAAGAGAGGATCAAAGCAAAAGATATTGTGATGAATCGTTGAAAGGATTTGTCAATTGAGTGGATGTGGGTTGTAAAAGAGAGAAATCAAAGATGTACTTCTGAGACTGGGAAACAAAGGCAGTGATAGGTGCCATTGATAATCTTAGCTCAATGATCTTGGGAAAACAGAGAAAGATTTGCATGAAATAATGATGAGCAAAATGAGCAGAACCTAGAGAGCATTGTATATGGTAACAGCAATATTGTTTTAACAATGACTTTGAATGAATAAGTCATTTTGACTATTATAAATGCCCAAATTAATTACAAAGGACATACGAAGGAAGACACTGTCTAGATCCAGAGAAAGAACTGATAAACAGAAGTCTGTATAGGATGATTTTACATATATAATATATATGTATATATATACATATACATATATACTTATTTGTGTCTAATGGTAGCCATCTCGGGGGGGGGTGATGGAGAGAGAAGAAAAAAGGGGAAAAAAAAGAAAAAAGAAATTTACATGATCACTTTATTACATATTTAAAAGGAATAGCAAGTTGTACATAATAGATGTGCAGTTTCATGTGCAATCATCTTTTTTATTGTACTGTGTTATGGAAATGTTTATTTCATGAATTGAAAAATAAATAAATTTTAAAAATAACATTAGCTGATATTAATATTGGTCTTAAAGATTTATAAAGTGCTTTATATGCAATTATACCATTTGGTCCCCACATCAATGCTGTGATGTAGGTACCTCCAGGTTTTATTATCCTTCTTTTGTAAATGAAGAAACTTTGATTCAGAAAATTTAGGGTTTTTTTAAAGGTTAAACAGCTAGGAAGTACAAAAGGTAGAATTCAAACCCAGGCCTCTCTTAATTCCAAGTCCAGCGCTCTCCCAGAGCATCCCATTCAAAGAAATAAGGTAATTAGGAAGAAGGGTTTATTTGGAGGGATGGTGGTGAGTTTGGTTGGATGGGTTGGTTAAGTTGGAGGCGTCAGTCGAATGCTGGAGTAGAGATATCCAAGGATATCTCTTGGCAATGCAGGACTGAGGTTGAGAGATGTTGGGATTTGAGGTAAGAGTTATCCATGTAGCTGGAGAGTTGAGGCTGTGGCAGGAAAAGGACTGTGGTGAGATAGATTGTAGCGAAAATAGAAACGATTAGAGGAAAGAATCCTGAGGAAAACATGCATTTATGGAATAAGAGTAGCCAGTGATAGAGAGCTAGGCTGGTGTTGGGTCATAGACCAAAAGAGGAAGAGAACGTGGGGAGATGATAAGCTTGGAGTAGTGACCAGAGCTCTGAACCCACAGTCAAGAGGATCTGAATTTGAATCTTGCCACCAGACACTTCCTCACTGTGTGAACCTGGGCAAGTCACAACCTCAATTTTCTCATCGGTAAAATTAGGATAATAATAGTAACAGGGTTTTTGGAGAATCGAAAGAGAGAACATGTAAAATACTGTGTAAATCTTAAAGTGCTATATGTATATATACATACATATTTAAATACGTATACATATATATGTGTATATACATATATAAATATATTTACCTTTATATACTTCAGAGAAATGTTGGGAATCATTGGAGGAATCCTCTTTCAACTCATTGATTCAGATGCTCAAAAGATCCATCTGCTTACAAATGGATTGTCAGCCTGGAAGGGTTAAGAACCATTGCAATAGCAAAGCTCTCCTTGGAATGCTGAAAAAGCTTCACAGGGTAAGTGAGGTAAACTGTCAGAAGACTGGATCAAGGTAGGGGGGACAAGGTGAAGAAATCTAGCATTCTGTGGCTAACAAACTCCTTTATTCCTTTCCCAATTCCTGTTTTTCCAAGTTGCAAGCAGCATGGGCAAAAATTCCCTTCCCTGGATTCACTCCCTATTTTCTTACGCTCATTCCCCTCAGCCCTGCCCCTCCTAAGAACCAATCAAATTCTGAACACTCCCTCCATTGTGCTTTCTGTAAGGCTGACAAATTTCTCTTCCTCCCAGACCTTTTCTCCTTATCCTCAGTCCATCTTCTTGCATTCGCAGAAGCCTGTTTTTGTCATTCAGTCATTCAGTCGTGTCTGACTCTTTGTGACTCCATTGACTATAGCATGCCAGGCCCTTCTACCCTCTGCTGTCTCTCGAAGTCTATCCAATTTATGGTCCTTATTTCACAGAAGCCCAAGACATAAGACACTCTCCCTAGCCATCCTTTTCAATGTAACAATACACTGATCCTGATCCAGAGGGCAGGGTCTACCTTTCCCACTAAAGGCTGATAGATACTCAGTCCTCCTTAGGCTCCAGGTGAACTTAACCACTAAAGAATAGAGTAAGGCTCTTTTTTCACACATTTCCCATCCCAGAAACCCTGGGAAAATTACTTAAATCTTAGGGTTTTTGAAAATGTCTAGGGTCTCACCAAAAAGTGGGATTAGAAAGGTATTTGATATGCAGTATAGAACAAGTATAGGACAGCCGTTTATTTCCTTGACATAAAATTAATGCTTAAAACACAAGAGTCATAAGTGCTCATTGACAAAGACTTAAAACATTACCCATTAACCTATAACTCTTATTATATACTCCTGGAAGGTTGATACTAGAAACATTACAACAGTGAGAGTGTTAAATATGCATTTCACTCTCCTCTCCCTCAAGGTCCATGTCTTCTGGCCAGCCAAGCCAAAACTTAGCCTTCTTGTCAATGTCTCATTGGAGAAAAGAAAAAGAATAAGAATGAAAGTTGTCTCTCCTTTCAAAGTCTACAGAGTGAGCAGCTCTTCCTGGCTCAGTAGCCAGTCTCTCTCTGACCCAGGGACCAAGTAGCCAATAAGGGAATTGCTTTGTCATTGCAAGCCCTTCTGTAATGAGCCACTTGAATCACTCACTAGATATGGTTAGAGGGGCTTAGCCTCTCCCCATGGGACGGCCCCCAAAGACCCACACATGTTCAATGAAGTGTACATCACCACCGGTACTGGATGTACCTTTTGACACACTGCGTCAGAAGGAAGGGAAAGAGCCTTCTATGCTCTTCATTCACTTCTACATCCTTCCTCTGACACCATCACTCAGAAACCTTAAGCTGCAAACAGTTTTTTTCAGATCTCTTTCTTAGGGATGGTGAGTGAGACAGTGATTGGCTATGATTGAAGTGCTCAAATTTACAGTTGAAATGTATGACCTTTGTCTTACTCAAGGTCTCGGGACAGGATCTGTAAGAAACCCTTATCCAAATATCCTCAAAGCAAAGGGGCTCATATTCCTGCTCAAAGGGAGGTCAGTGGTGTGAGGAGTGGCCCCCAACAGCAATAGAGGTACTTCAGGGGCTACTATATGGTACATTCTTCTTTAAAGGGGTAGGGATACTGCATGCAGGGCAAGGACAGGGAAGGGAAGCAGTCCCTTAGCATTGCTGGAGGGCTATGACTTTGTGTAGACAAATCTGCCTCCCCCATTCCAGGGCCCCTTTCTTTTCCCTCAAAGTTCCAGACTTCTTAGGTTTTTCCATTGGATCAGACCCCAGGATCAGGCTAATATATCAATAATATATAAAATATAAATGGAGAGATACTCAGTTAGCAAAAAGGAGCCATTTCAGGAAAAGACTAGAGAATTTGAAGAAACATCATTATGGCTATCGAAGTCTCCAAGTATGAGAACAGAATTGGAATGAGCCAAGTGCTAAATTCTTTGAGAAAGGATGGAAAGGGGCAGCTAGGTGGCATAGTGGCTAGAGCACCGGCCCTGGAGTCAGGAGGACCTGAATTCAAATTCAGCCTCAGACACTTACCAAATGTGTGACCCTGGGCAAGTCACTTAACCCTGATTGCTGCGATTGCTGAGAGAGAAAGAGAGAGAGAGAGAAAGAATGAATGGAGAGTGAGAATGGAGAATTACAGGCTAGGGCACCACCATCCTCCCAGTAACACAGGCTCACAACCTTCAGGTTATCCTCAATTCCTAGTTCTCTCTCACTCCCTCTTATGTCCAGTCTGCTGCCAAATACTGCCTATCTCCCAAACACCTCTCATATATACCTCCTTCTTTCCTCTCACACTACCTCCACACTGGTGTAGGTCCCCATCACCTCACACCTGACACTACTGTAATAGCCTGCTGGTTGTCTCTCTGCCTCAAATCTCTCCCCACTCCAGTCCATCTTCCATTCAGTTGTAAAACTGATTGTCCTACTGATATGGAAATGTGTTTTACCTGATTGCATATGTAGCAAATTGCTTGCCATCTTAGGAAGAAGGAAGGGGAGGGGGGGGAGTGAGGGAAGGAGAAAATTTGGAACTCAAAATTTTATATAAAAATGAATGTTAAAAATGCCTTTACATGTAATTGGAAAAAATAAATTACTATTAAAATTGATTGTCCTAAAACATGGGTTTGAGCATGTCACCACCTACTTACTAAACTCCAATGGCTCCTCACTATTTCCAAGATCAAAATAAACTCCTCTGTTTGACTTTAAAAACCCTTCCCAGTCTGGCCCCTTCCCACCTTTTCAAGCTTCTTGTACTTTAAGTACCTCCACATTCTCTATGATGCAGCCTCCTTGCTGGTTCTTGCACATCTCCCAACTCTCCCACACTGGAGAGACATCAGTATGTTTATTGAAGTCTCCAAGCATGAGGGCAGAATTGGAATAGTGAGGAAGATTGTAAACCAAGTGCTAAATTCCTTGAGAAAGGGTGGAGAATTATACGTCTCCCCACTCCATAGCTTTGGACCAGCTGATCTCTATTCCTCGGTTTCTCTCCCTCCTTATCCCCCCCTCCTGACTTTCCTGGCTTCCTTCAAGTCTCAGCTATTATCCCACCTTTTGCAAGAAGTCTTTCCCAGTTTCTCTCAGTGCTAGTCCCTCACCTCCAAGATTACTTCCAATTCACCGTATATATATTTCGTTTGCTTGCCTGTTACCATGTTGTCTCTATTAGAATGTAAGCTCTTGAGGGCAGGCATTGGTTTTTGCTTTTCTTTGTATTTCCAGTGCTTAGCAGAATGCCTGGTACATGGTAAATGCTCAATAAATGCTTATTTCCTTGATTTAGAGCCATAAGAAATGGGTTCAAATCTGACCTCTATCATTCACTACCTTTGTGACATTGGGCAAGTTAGTTAAATTCTTTGGATTTCAATTTCCTCATTTATAAAATTAGGTGGGTTATAATATTTATATGCACTTAAATATTATAAAGGGTGGGTGCCCTTTAAGATATTTTTAGGCTTTGTACTTATGATCTTCTGTACCTCTGCTTTAGAGAAGGGGAGAAGGACCTAGTCAAACAACAATTGTATTATTTATCCTTTTTCTTCTTCCACTACTGAATTTACTCCAGGGGCTGGAGTTCCTAATTAAAGTTCTGGCTAGAACGTGAGTTCCTATTGGAATCATACCAGAAGGTGGTCTAGAAATTATATCTGGTAGTTTCAGACTCTTCACTATGGTAAATAAAATAAAATAAATTAAAAACTCTACTATGGAATCTTACCACACAGATCTGAGGGGCAGTATGGTGCCACAGAAAGAGTATTAGATTTGAAGCCAGAGGATCTGAATTCAAATTCTGTGGACCACTTACTGTCCATGTGAACTTGGACACCTCTTTTCAAACCTCTGATTCTCAGTTTCATCGCCTAAAAAAATGAGAGAACTGGATGATCTTTGAGTTCTCTTGTGCGTCTACATCTATGACCCAGTGAAATAGGTGTAAGTGAATAGAAAACTGCAGGAGACGAGTCTGAATCCACACTTCCAGGAGATGGCCCGGAAAGTGCCTATAAGTGCTGTGGGCTAAGAGAAGTGTGTGAAGGTGAATGGTACTGTCAGAAAGGTTCATGTGTTGGTTAATTTCACTGAATTGGACTTTTTCCCCTCTTTAAATCTTTGTTATAAGGGATGACTGATTAGGGAAGGGAAAAGGGATAAATGAATGGGATGAAAGAACACCAGGCACCAGAGAAAACATGATGAAATTGAAAAACAAACTTAATTGGTTGGCTCTTCTTTAGCCTGATTAAGTAATATCCATAAAAAATTAGATTATACTCTTTATTGATATAAAAGTACACTCATAGTTAAACATGTTCTGTTTAAGGTAAACAAGAAGGCTAAATATAAAGTTCCGGAGAGTACATTCTACATCAGTGAACTCTTCAATTGGTTCAATGTTTTTGAAGACCTAGGAAGATGGCATCATTCCAAAATGTATCCTGTGCGTATGTCATGTCCAGGGTAACATCTCCTTTAGCCTAGCTCCCCAGCTCATACTTAGAAGTCAGGTCCTCTGGGTGAATGACAACCATAGCTTCCATTACTCTATGGATCTGAACTTTTAAAATTAAAATTATTCTCTTACGCTATTCGATTCTTGGCTTTGATAAACCAAGGTTTCAACATTTCTTGGGTTCATCATTGAATTGATAAACACGTTGTACATTGAAAAGATGTAGTTTTTGTGCCTTTTATATACTTTCTGAGAGTTACTGACCGTCTTCTAACAATACTTCCAGGTTTTGGAAATACTCAGAACAGGGATTCTTAACCATTTTTGTGTCATAAACCCCTCTGAATTTCCAGTGAAGCCTTTGGATTTCTCAGAATGTTTTTATTTTCTTTTTATTTATTTATTTTTTATTTGTGGGATAAAACAAGCATCTCCATAATATAGTATCATAAAAAAGATGATTATACATGAAACTGCAAATCTGCTATGTACAACTTGCTATTTCTTTTAAATATATAATAAAGTTATCATGTACATTTCTATTTTTTCTTTTTTCTTTTTTTTCTTTTTTTCCTCTCTCCCCCTGCCCTAGAGGTGGCTACCATTAGACTCAAATAGGGATGTATGTGTGTATACAAACACACACACACAAATATATATACACATGTATGTATATAATTATAAAATTATTCTATGCATCTATTTATCAGTTCTTTCTCTGGCTTCAGAGAAGCCTTCTTCCTATGTCTTTTATAGTTCATTTTAAATGCATAAAATACATTACCTAGGATTACAAAGTAAACCAGTTACCTTAAAGTATAATATAAAACAAATGCATGAGCCCTGGGTTAAGAACCCCTGACTTAGAAGATAGCCCCAAAAGATTTAGGGGAGAGACTTAAGGTAGGATAAAGGAGTGGGGCTTTTCTGTTTTTTTTCAAATGCTCATAAATACTATAATTTCTCTTTAATTATAGGAAGCCAACAGTCTTGTCATATTTGCGCATTTTCCTTTCATCTTTAATCTGTCTTCCAAAATTAAATTGTTGAATGCAAATTCACTTTTAAATAAGCTGGTACGTATGCTCATTTTCTTCACTATCATCACCAAAAAGTATTTCCTAAATGTCTGTGGTTCATACCAGTATTCTAGGCTGGATAGATAATTATAGAATATTCAGAGCGTGGATCTTAAGTTTATATGTTAAAGAAGACAAGCTAGACGAATTAGTACCCGAGAGAGGAGAGCAGAAATAATAATATTTGTAAAATACAGTTCACATTATTGCACATGGATGGAAAAGAATCAGTGCACTGCTTAGGAGTGACAGATGTGAACTGAAAATAAAATCAAGTTGAATTTTTGTTGAAGGAGTGATAGGTATGTCTCTCGTATCACAGGTGTGTTTGAGAGTTGACTCCTTAAAGGCACTTATGAATTTCCTTTAGAACCCTTTTACCTGGGATGTCCTGATCACCACAGTACGTTGGTACTCATGCTGTACTACTGCTCTTTAAGGCTTCCAAGGTCTCCACCCTGGGGCTTTCTCAGGGGAGCCATCTGGTTTTGCCACGTCAAGACATAGAACCTTACAAGCTATATGTCTCCCCTTCATAGTCATACTGGTATTTGCTTTGCTGAAGGGGCCCCCTTTCAGTTTCCATGGGTTTCTGGCTGACCTTTTGTGTATTTTTTGGATGGACAATGTATTTCCTGTGGTTTCTCATTGGATTTCTTGATCATTATTTAATCTGGTGTGAACGTGAGGATTTTGCTGGAGTAAGAACAGGGAAGCTGGGCAACCTACCTTCTATTCAGGCACCTTTTGTGGCCGGAAGTCCAAATAAGTTTTTGGAATTGTGTCAATGCCTTTGAATAAAAGGCTAGCCTAGCTTGCATGGGGTAGGGCCTTACGATATTACTCTTACGTACCTTCAAGCCTAATTATATCTCTAGTAGTATGATGTCTAGAAAGCCTGTCTTTTTTTTTCTTGCATGAGGCAATGGGGGTTAAGTGACTTGCGCAGGGTCACATAGCTAGTAAGTCTCCGAGGCTGGATTTGAACTCAGGTCCTCCTGACTCCAAGGCTGGAGCTCTATCCACCACACCACCTAGCTGCCCCTTAGAAAACCTGTCCTAACAGAAAATGATTCACTTCTTTATCCTTTTGGTATTTTTGTTACAACAAGGGAATTTATGGAAGAAAAATCAGCAATATGGAAATAAAAGGGTTTTTTTGGTGGGTCACATACTGAGTGTCACTTACATACAAACAAATTTTCATAAAGAGGAACTAAAAGTTTTTAGAATCTTAGGACATTTTGAAAATAACTAAAAATAATTACCAAGCACTTGAGTACCCAGATTTTGCCTTACTAATCTTGTTTACTAACACCAAGGGGCCCAAGATAACCCTTAGACAGCCACCAGGGTAGAATGATCTCAAATTTTTGCTGTATACCAATTTTTCCCTATGCTATTTTGATACTCAACAATAAATACAGAATAATATGTTTCATCTTACTTTCTCTTAAATTGTTGGGAACAGAGTATCCATGACCACAATAAATGTAAAATACAAAATCAACAATTTAGAGATGAAAGGGATTTTTGAGTCTAGCCCCTTATTTTACAGTTGAGGAAACTGAGGCTCAGGGAAGGTAAGTGACTTGTCAATACATTAAACCAATTCATTACAATGTTGAAGCCTTCACTGAGAGTTGTAATTGAGAAAAGAAAAAATGAAGAGAAATATCTATTTTTTCTCTAGGTTGTGTCACCTTTAACTTCATTTCATGACTTTGAAAGTCTTATGCTAAACCAACTATGTGGATTAGTCTTGAAAGCTGAGCTTCATCTCCACGTTAGACGGAGTCACCTGGTAGAGGATACCATGTGTCAATTAAGTCAAGTTGTGGGCAACGACCTTAAGAACGAATTATTGGTAAAGTGTACCTTTTTATCTTCTATCTGGAAAATATTTAGATAGCGTGGTTTATCTTGGCATTCTCAGAAGCCTTCCCCTTGTAGATTCTCACTCTTGGAGTTTTCCTCATTTTTCAGTTGCTCTCAGAGTTTCAGGTGACAGCTATGACTAGGTATGCCTATTTAAGATACTCTAATAACAATAAAGGTAAATGACAATTTGCTCCATTCCTACCCTGTGAACAAAGTCTGGTTTTAGTCTTTTACTTCACTGTCTGCTTAGATCTGGCATAGTCCTGAACGAGTCATTAAATAGATTATTGCCAGGATTATAGATCAGGATTGGGTAAGATTGAGAGGATTCCTTTTGTTCTAAGGCAGACAGACTCTGAGCTTGTTTTGTGCAGGATATAGCTTTAGTACTATATGCTGACTGGCTGCTTCTCTGCTTATTCTGAATATAACCATAGGAGTGATTATTGTTTATAAAGCCCCAAACAATTTGACCCTAGCTACTGAAGGGACGGTGTCCTTACCACTTTGTGCTCTTGTAATACCGAAAACCAACTAACAACAGTCATGATGATATCCATAAATCAATCAGCAAGCATTGATTAAACATACACCATATTATAATTCCCATTAATTCTCTAATCTTCAGTCTTCCCTGTCTTCCTAATCTTCCAGTCTTTCCCTAGGGTCCTTACAGATGACCTACCCCCCCACAGGAGTCCCTGCTGCCTGTAAATAGACCAATACTTACCCCTCATCCTTAAAAAAATCCCCTCAGCTGGTCTTACCATTGCCACTATCATTCTATACCTCTGATCAACCACAGTCAGACGCACTGTACCTTGACCCAACATGGTGACGCCATTTTGATCCTCTTTGAGAACAAAGGACACCAACCAGCCAATCCTGCTACACTGCTTCTTGAAGTTCCTTACACATCTCCCAGCTGAGTACCTTTTTTCTCGTAGTCCCTCGAGCCTGGAATACTCCCGCCTTCACATTTGCCTCTTAACTTCCTTCAAGATCTAGCTCAAATCCTACCTTTTTCAGGACACCTTCCCTCAAGTTCCATCCCCCTAAAATTACTTTCCAGGATTACTTTCCAGAAGTTAGATGTACATAGTTAGTTGTATGTTATCTCTCCCATTAGAACGTGATCTCCAAATGGGCAGAAACCATATTTTTACCTTTCTTTGTATCTCTAGAGCTTAACCATTAATAAATGTTTCTTAATGGGTTGAATGAATGAATGACTAATATGACAAGCACTATGCTGGATAACGAGGGTTAAGAGGCAAAAACTAAATAGTCCCTGCCCTCAAGGAGCTTACATTCTATAAAGCAAGATACAGAAATACAGATGATATTCCCCAAATCCTACAAGAAAAAGGAAGGAGAGTATTTTCCGTGGGAGTTATTGTTTTGTAGAATCGTCTGTCCATTCTGACTTAGAAACCTAGCTTATGCAGCTGCAGGCAGAGTATCAAAACATAACTTTGGAGATATCTTATTAGATTATGCAGCTACATATTTTATGCATTCTTATTTAACATTATATTTGTACCCTGATTTATTAAATCTGAAAAGCAGATTATTAATCGAAGTCTACAATTTATTTAGTACTCCATGGCATTCAATTATTTTTAAGTATAGTCACAAGAGTGATTTCTATTTGAGAGTTCAGAATCTATTGGAAAATTTAAATTCAAGGATACTTCTATAATATCCTCTTCACTTGGGGAAACATGGATCAAGATGATGCTGTTACTTTTGTTATGAAGAGATTCATTTGATGGCATTATTTCCTGATCATCATTAATTGTTGATATACAGATGGAATAGGTTAAGTTGAAGCTTCATAAAAAACAAAAATACATACTGTAATAAAGGACTTTTCCAATTCTCTGCTTCAATTGTCTCATTATAATCTTGTTCAAGCAAAGTGAATATTGAACTACACAAGGGTAGCCATTCATTTACATTAAGACTTAATGTGGGGGCAGCTAGGTGGTACAGTGGATAGAGCACGGGCCCTGAAGTCAGGAGGACCCGAGTTCAAATCCAGCCTCAGACCAACACTTGACACTTATTAGCTGGGTGACCCTGGGCAAGGCACTTAACCCCAATTGCCTAAAAAAAAAAAAACTAACTAAAAATAAAAAAGACTTAATATGTTTGATGCTAAAGAATACTGCAAGAGGCACAAGTCATTCATGAACTTGAAGGTATGTCTAATCATTTTCTTTCCTTAGATTTCAATAATTGGAGAAAGTTATCCTGAATGTGGAGGAGTCAGGAAAGAATTTTTCCATTGTGTGTTTAAGGAGATGATCCAACCAGAATATGAGATGTTTGTGTATTCTGAAAACTCTTCCCTAATGTGGTTTCCTACCAATGTAAGTCTTAATTTCTTTGTTTCTGGGGTTTCAGGAGAGAAAGCACTGACCCATAAATCATATAATTTGACATTCATGTACACTAATACCTAGCTGTTCTGACTTCCAAGTAAGTTCTATTGCTACTTATTAGTTTACCAACATGCGTGTGTATGTGTGTGTGTGTGTGT